TGTCAGTCACCGTCTCAGCCAGTAAACGCAACCTCGTGACCCTCAAATTGTCACACCTGACCTGACACCGCAGCCATATTTCACCTCAACATGACACGTAGAACCACAACCACGCCGTACAGAATACCAAATATCATACTCGTACCCGTAACATTACGTCCATAGCCTCATAGAGTTATTCCAACCACCAATAGAACCACAAACAAACAAACAAAGAAACAAAGTTCCATGATCTCATACCTTCGCCAGATGATAAGATGATTAATTTACGACTGACGACGTAGATCTTGTTTTGTCATCTTACCAAGTCAAGCATCACTTACAACTCCCTACATGCCAAAAATCAGGACAATCCGTCGGTTCTCCCTCGAAGATTTTTCAACGAAAGCTCCTGCAGTTACAAAACAAGTTGCTACCGGGACTAAATGCAAACGAATGTTACTTCTTCCCGAGCAAAAGAACTACCTACCATCCAAACTTCGTAACCTTAGCATGTCCAGATCACGAGATATCAAACCCAAAACTTCCGCTGCAGTACAATAACAAGCCGCCAGGAGGCTCAAAATCTAATCATTCCATCCACAGCGTCTTGCGTTATCGTGCTAAACCACATGCACACATACATACATACATACATACACACACACATACGCGCAAACGCTACCGAAAACTAACCTTCTTAGCGAAGGTAACCAACAAAGAAAACCCCACATGCCACACACAACCCAGGAAGTTCAAATCCCACATGCCAGAAAATACACCCTTCTTGATGGTGTAAAGTACTGACGGTTCGGACAAGTTTCGGATGTACGTGTGTGTTCTCAGCTCCTTGGAACCACCCTACTGTGCCATGTTGGTTCCACATGGGTTGTGCTGTTATCGCTAGGCGACAGCCACCGTTATGCAATGCCGCGGAAATGACCTATCGCTGGTGGCAAGGTCAACTCCCAACACACGAGTCATCCGGATTGCCTGGTGTCCCGCCAGTGGACATGAATAGTTAAATTATTACCTTCACCTAGAGGGTTATGTTTTCGTCAGCGTTCGTGCGTGGTGTGTGTGTGTGCGTGTGTGCGTGTGTGTGTGTGTGTGTATGTGTGTGTGTGTCCGTCCGTCTACCAACAAGATAACTCGAGAAGGCTTAGATGGATTGTCTTGATATTTGTATGTTATGTAGATAGGTCTTGATGAGAACTCGAAATGAAGACATTTTGGGCCCCTTGATGGCTTGTAATGATACTGCAGCGGCTTCCGATTCTGATATCTTGTTATCTGGGCATGGAATCGCAGATTGGTGGTAGGTAGCTCTTGTGCTCGGGGAGAAGTGGCGTGAGTCTTGGTCCCCTAGCAGCTTGTTCGTGATCTGCAAGGGGGTATGTTTGCATACTAGTATCTTTGAAGCAGGATAGCTCAAGAACTGGTTGACGGATCGTCGTAATTTCTGGTATGCAGGTAGCTTAAGTAGTGCTTGATATGATTTGATGACAATTATCCAGCCTTGAATGGTTTCGTAGGGTCACCCATTGCTCCTATGTACAGCTGGGCAGGACATGTCATCTGTTGTCGCCGCCGAGGAGATAACCCGCAACACTGACACTGTAAGTCAACTGAGCTGGTGGTATAGCGGCAGCTGGGTACACAACAACACGTTGAAAGGAAATTCACCATGGCCCACCATGTCAGAAAAAATTACTCCAGTAGTACAACACAGCTTCCCTCCCTTACACACCGATCCTCCGAGTCACCGGTCCTACTGCAGGACTTGTCTCTGCGCCAGATTTTGGGGAATGTGCGGATAACTCAAGGTAGCTCACCTTTTGAAAGAGCCGACGGGCCCCCACAAATTTTGCAGTGGGGGTAGGTGAAGGTACGGTAGAGGTGCCACTAGCGAAATTGCTTTCTGCTATATCCCAGTTTTGCTGCCAATCCTTTGGGTTACAATAAAATTTACTTGAATGTCTGCCAGATTTCATGGATACAACAGTTACTATCAAACATATAAAATATGGCAAACTTGTGTGGAAGTTGCTCTGCATTGATATGATTTATGTCGAGATTTGAACTCCAGTAACCATCGTATTTTATTATTTTTTTACCCTAATGTAATTTCACCCTCATCAGACGACAGGGGCACAAAATAAGCCCTGCATCACATGCTGTTTCTTGGGGACTCAATCACAAAGAGAGGGCAGGGAAGGTCTTAGCCCATTTTCCAAATATGGCCCAAGATATGTAGCATTTATGATCTTTGGGAGCGTAATTATACCCTTGTGTGAGATGATCTGACCTCATTACTGATCAAATGATTCACCCGAGGACGATTCAGATGTTAGGAGACCACGGTGCCCTGAAAACTTCCAGCTGTAGGTCCTGATGCTTAACTTCAAATCCCAAAGTGGGTTTCGGTATTGCCAGGGATTTCAACTTCTCAGTGGGCTTTTAAGCTTCGTTATAAATGTACTCACTTAATCTTTTGCTGTTGCTGAATTTCCAGCCATAACTGAGTGTTATTGCAGTATTTTTAGCCCTAGGCTGATGAATGACTCCTGTTCATTGTTACCACGAAAGCGTATTTAGCGGAGGCTTCCGCTGACGATAACACCGGAGGAGGGCCTGGCCTTCAGAGAGGTTCGCTCATCGGCTTTGAATCTCCGCCAACTAGTCCGCACACAACCCAGGAAGTTCAAATACCGCATCTCGGAGGAAATCGCCGTGCTAAACAGACCCTACCCCAAACAGAAAGGAGTTGAATGGACGCCAACATTTGGGTAAAATTTTGCGAAAAGCCATCGGACCATCCGATATATGTCCTACCGATGGAATGTCAACGGCCTGAATACTAGGACAGGCTGTCGTGTCAGGGGGTGGAGCGGAGACGCTAAAATTAATGACGTATGTTCGTTATTGATGATTTTTTTATACAAAATGATACTGCATTTCTATTTTTGTACTTGACAGCAATGCCTTCCTATTCAACGGGTATATACATACTATTTTTATAATATGGTTACCATACTACTCTGTAAAGTTACCTGTCATATCGTCGCTTTATCGAACGCAACGTAGTCCGGCGATTGCTGTATTGTTGGTCATTTTACCATTCATAGACAAGTAACCCGCGTACGTATTAATCTCGTGTGCTCTTGTTGTGGTTTACTAACGCGATTAGAACTTCATCTCTCTCTACTAAACAGTCCATCTCGAAAGAGAAAGAACAAGAATTCGGGGATCTCATACCTCCATGAAATATGTAGTTTATGTATATATTTTTGGATTTGTCTCACTGATTATGGAAATAAGGTCGTAATTACCATAATCTAGTTTAATTTATGGTTTTCTAAACTCAAATTACAATATTTTGCCTGTGAAATTCCTATTCTTTGGTCTTTGGCAATAAACTAACGCGATGAGGACCTTATCTCACTCTACTTAAGATAAAGAGAGAACTAAGACCATGAGTGACACGACGTCGCCCTGTGTGATCCTGTGTGCCTCAGGTATCACAGGAATCCCAACGTGGCAGCGGTGTCCTGAACTTTGGCGCGTGCGCACGTGGAACTGCGGGGTTCTCGGAAGGCGACCCGCCGCGCGGCTGGCGTGCCAAGGTCGCCCGGCTACTCGTCAACACGGCCCGCTCCAAACGCACAATGTGCTAAATCTGGACGACTAAATTTGGCGTTATTTTGATCCACCTTGGCATCGAGTTGGGTCAACCACATAACCATTCACACGTGGGTCGGAAGTGCTGGGTACTCAACCTTAACAGACATGACAGAGTCACGATTCGGCTTTGTTTATATACTAACGTTTCGTTTGAGGAGCTACTAAAGTGTAGATACTAACAAGCTCTCCTCTTAAGTTCACGATCACTTCCTTCCATGGTACTCCTCTTGTTCATCTAGATCTCACATAAACATACCGCGAGTGTATGGAATGAGAAGAGGAGAGTGTCAACTATTGAGTAGCCGTCGGTCGGTATGACAAGGTACCTGAGCAAGGTGACGTCAGGTCGCATCTCGAACTTTAATACCATACAGTTTGGTCTAAAACAGTCACATTAAGCTAGAGATACGAGTTCATCGTTAAGATGTCTTGCCAGTAAACGTTTTATAGCATTTGTAAGGTCATTCACCCATGGAGATAACTCTGTCTCGGTATAAAGTGAAGACGTGCTTTCACGGATTAACTCGAAGACACGTCTCATATGATAGTTGTTCAGTTTATCCAACATCTTTCTTCACATAGTTCTTAAAAGAGATGGGAGCACAACTGCATATCACACAGGAGGTTTACTACTGTACTATGTGGTCAGCATTAAACTCATGACGTCGTCGGTCCTCCTCCCACTAGGGGACGGGATGTAGATAGTGCCAAGCCCGTAATTCTGTAAATCACAACAAGAAACGGAGCAGACGACGATGATAGGCGGAGATGTCGGACAGTCCGTCCCTAAACTTGACCCTGACCCTCCCCCTCCCGAAGCGGAGACTTTAATCATCACCAACATGTGCCTTGCCTGTCGACCGGGCGGCAGTGACAGACGAGATACCGGCCAGGGAGTTCCGCGGGTCAGACGTGTCCTCGCCTAGCAAATCGCTCACTCCGCACGTACGTGTCGGTGCGTAATCGTGACCATATAATAGCACGCCATTTCCTGGCAAATACCTCACGTAATTGTCAATGGTAACTACTACTGCTTAGAACCTAATCCACGGTCTACCTTGGACCTGCTTTCCGCACATCACTCACAACAAACAGTGCAGAGATCTTGTGTTGATCAGCCTGATAGAAATATAAAAAATCCCGGCCTGTGCCACCGATCCCCTGCGGCCCTGAACCTCATTTGACCCGAGAAACAGCAAGAGTCTTCTTCTATCCGTCCCTGCGCATGATCCGGTTAGCCCCTTTGTGAGTCGGACTAGTACTGGAGAAAATTGGGGCATAAATAGGATATTTCCGTTTCCAGCCCGGGTCAGGCAGGAGTAAATAAGAGTACTCACGTGCGGCGCTGGGCAGCAGCAGCAGCCATGCTGACAGAACAAGGACTTCCAGTCTTACACCTGTCAACCTGCAACACAAATCCATCCACACGTCATAACCCACATCAGGGCCCTCCCACAAATGTCATATACTATATATACTAGGGACGTAGTCTACATAGCCGACACCGAACTTTTACTGCAAGGACCACGGTGTTATCTAAAACCTTCGTTTCACATGTAGACAGACCGTTATGTTATAAAGATTCCATGTTTTACGACCCGACATAAGTTTCCAATTTGAGGCTGCCCCAGAAATAAGACAAAGGATCATACAGTGCGTGATGATGCTGATACATTACTGGTAGTTTTCCGAGCTACCTTACGGTACAATACCGCCCGCTCTTCCGATTTCGTTAACCTTTTTCCTGGACCCACCAGGAATCTGAATTATTTTTAATTTCCTATTTATGACTACAGAAATGTCTTCTCATTTACACACAACCAAGAATAAATTTAGGTCCGTCCAAAGTCTCTGCTTACTTTCTTATAAGACGACGTGACAACTTTTACATCTTTATTATTGGTTTATTTCGTTTAATTTTACTGCTACGTTTCGACCAGGCGAAATTCGTTCCACCACTGTACAACAACGTCACCTGGGGACCTGCCAATCTTACACCGGAGGGAGGCAACTCACTTAAGTTGAACAGACAAACAAACGTAAACACAATTTCCAGCACTCCACTCTGGGGAGCAGTAGGCGACATCAAATCCGGCCTAGCCGTCGAAGATGATTACCAGGAATCCCAAGTTACCCGTTTTCCCCCACATCAAGCTTCTGTTGCATCTTTAAGGGACCCGAAATGAATAGAACTGCTACATAAAACCGTGCTGGCGTGACTGGCGACGATACAAGCCCCCAGCTAACTTGGTTAGGGAATCTTGAGCTGGTTCGAAACGTGGAATTCGGAAGGAATTACGCACCGCCCCGTGCCGCTACCGAGACCTTGATCTCTCGTGACGTGACCTCTCTAAGCAAAACCGTTCTGACTTAGAGTCAGACGGTAAAAACGTAAGCCAACAAAACAAACATATGCGAGGCCTTGGCTCAGGAAAAAGTGCATCTTATGGATCATTCCTGCACTTTAAACTCTTTATAAAAGGGACCGTAAAACTGTAGGTTGATTGTGTTTACAGTCAATATCACACCAGGTTGATAATGCACTAGAACAGTGTACAGAAGTTCATCAAGTAGTTTACGTAGGAGTTTCATGACCGATAAGAACTACCCTTTAATCACAGAGCATTAAGGCTAGGTAAACAGCCCGGTCGTTGTGGCTGAGTGGGCCGTTAGTGTCAAGTTTGCTCAGTTTGCTCAGATGGGTATGGAGAATGGAACGGAAACGTCAAGGCGATGCACTGCGGAAAGGCGACACATATAAACCATGCCTACATCTTAGTTTGTGAGCAGTCGCCTAAAATGGGGGAAGACTTTGACTTTCAGCCCGAAAACCCCCGTTGACAGTAAGATGGCATCGGAATCTTCAGCGGCTCTCGCGAGTCACAATCAGCATAACGCAAGCACGGTGATCGGAAGGAGACGAACAGAAGCAAGCTTACCGATACGGCCTGTGCCAGCCCATCGGAGATGCCCAAACCGTCATCGGTACTCCGCGCCGTTCGCTCCGGCCCTACGCACCATTGAAGCCCGGTGTGGTCCACGGGGAAGTAGTCCTCTGCCCTGCGTCAGCGTCAAATAAGAGCGGGGATCCTGCCCCGGGCGGCGCGCGGAAAAGTTACAATGGAAAAAGCCGGATTAACGTTTTGTTGTCCGTTTGGTGGAGCACACATTTCTGAACTGCCTTCTACTCTCATTGGACGCAGTCAAGTTAGATCAGCGGCCTGGCCCACTTTCGTGATGGGGACCCGACCCACCATTCCTTGGCAACTTTCCTTTAAATTTTGTTGATGCCTCGCCGGTCCGGCAGTCGCCGCCGGCCAGGTATCACAGATATTGGCACACCGGGCCGTGCCCCTAATATGTCATAGCTGTCGGTTACAAGAACCTGGAAGACCGGTAACTAAAAGAAAATTGTGTTTGCAAGCGTGGCTGTCGCTTTAGGCGTTGACTTCAACTCCAATCTGTGTGTAAGGGCACGTGTCCTCCAAGTGAACTTTCAAGTTTAACCCCTGAAAGCCATACCCACAGTAGTTTTCTAGACAAACTCTCCCACTCTCAATTCTAGTGTATATATTGAGACTTTGATGCAAATCAAAACTTTTTTTCAGGACAATCTATTTTTTCGTCACTGCAGTTGACGTTAATATCTAGCGTCTATCGCTATACTATAGTGACTTGTTATACGACGTCTAAGACCGGTGACGAGGGACTGTCAGACGCGCCAAAGTCAAGGCTTAGGCATATTATGTGTGACAAGTCGTTCGGTGTAATGTAGCCAGCTGCCGCCGCGCCGCGTGCCTGCGAAGCCGGTGTGTTACGCCGAAGGGCGGTTATACTGGCTATACAGATACAGATACAGAAGTCCTCGCAGACGGCCTCACAAGTAGTTCGTACTCCGACATCTCCTCCACGTACAGCGTGCTCGACGTTTCTGGCGGTATTTAACAGTTTATCTTATCCGTGTTATGTCCGACGGGCCCCGTGGGTACTCGCGCCGCCCTTTCGACGACATACCTGCTACAAATTTCAATCCAATTATGAGAGCGGGATGGGCGCCTTGGGGGGGATGGGCACGGCTAATTGGGTCACGACACGGTCAGAAGGTAGGGGAGGTCGTAGCCTCCACCAGGCCTTTCTACGGGAATACGGATCGTAGAATTCGGCAAAAAAAGAGAGTAAAATTGGCCAGGAGAGTCCGGCGCGGGAAGGTTGTTTCTTTCCCTCCGAACTGCGCGGCCAGTCAAACCCCAAGGTGGCCAAACTTCCCAGGCAAATATTCTCCTATATATAGCCAGCGTAGTAAGTCTGGTAGAGACTAGAGGAGGTCGGACGATGGGCCACGACAGGACTTCACTGTCATTCGTCAGTTCGTCCGCCGGGATGACGGACACCTGGCAGGGGAGGATGGAGATGACGGGTCGGTCAACTTTTCTGAGGAAAATTGTCTACCATGAAGACTAACCGTGGCGTAAGTCAAGAAGCTCAGGGGTATACAAACTCACCCTGTTTATCAGTTCTACTAACATCGTCTTTGCCACCCAAGAGTCAGACAGATCATGGTCAGATTATACCTGACGTTAAACTGTCTACTCAGGACTGAGACCGTCTCTGTTTGACACATGGGCGGGGTTGGGTAAGTGGTATGTGAGATTCGATTTTGTTATACCCCAATTAAAAACGGGTAAGTGGTATGTGAGATTGGTGGAAAAACTATTCTCACCTTGTAATTGAATTTCGAAGAAATGCGGCCTGCAGGCCGATTTGAGCTTCTCATGAGTAATGTGAATGGTTCAAACAAACACGGTGACAAAGGTCGAACTATTCGGTTCGAGATCCCTAGCCTGGATTCGAGTATCCAAACTGTGTTTAATACTATAACCCTGATATTGTTGAATGTTTGTTGATGCATTCGAATGCCAGTATGTTGCACCGAATGGTTAATACAAAACAAGATACGCCTACATTTAATCATTGAGTGTTCCTTACGTTTTCAGTTCAACGAATGGTGCCTAAAAATCGTTGTATACCTCAATGTGTACCGCATTTCTTGATATTCAAACCAATGTGAGTAAATTAACGACTCCGGCAAAAAAAGTAACATGCACCTGTGTGGTATTTTTGCGAACGGTTACTGCTGGATGAAGTGAGAAGAGTGTCCAATACGAACAGAACAATTGATATCTTATAGGACCATTTTGGGCCCGTGAAGGTTTAGAACAGTTACTTCTGAGATGCAACTGAGTAAAGTTGATGAGGACCAGTACTGTACCAGCGTTGCTGAGTTTCTATACAGTAACACTTAGCCGACATCTCAAAGGCACCGTAATAAAATCCTCTGTTGGTAAAATCAACAAGAACTACCCCGAGCCCGAGGCTGTGTACACAGAAAAACAACTTCGCCGCTTTTTAGTTTCAACTAGATGTTTCTTTTCGTCCCCCGCGACCAGCGGAGCGAACCTGGAATGTTGGCGAACACACAGGTCTCCTTGTTTGACCAGACTTTGATGTTGTTCTAGGACAGACGTGTGTGAAGACTTCAGGCCGTGATAGTAAGACTTGACCTTCACTCTGTAGCCTGTGGCGGGAACGGGCGCCTGGTGCACCGGCAGCACACACAGACAACAGTGGGGAGAGGGGGTTAGGGCGCTTTAGGCTTTGACTGTAAACTGTTTAGACTGTTTAAACTGTTTAAACTGTTTATGTTGTGAGGGAAGATCGTAACATTTTGTAACCCGTCTCGTGTCGGAAAATCAGGACAAGTTAGACAATCTAGGCTTGCACAACACTGTCACCGCCAGTAAGTGATTATGCGAAGAACCGTACAGGATGTCTTCTTCTTTCAGTCGTGCCCTGAAAACCGCAAACTTCCACGTGAAGATTCTTTTTTTTTGATAATTATAACTTTACGTTGCTTTTTTCTTCACTTCAGTGCTACCAATTTATTCCGCCGTTCGTAATTTGAAACACAAAAATGGTAACATTAATTGCATATCTAAAGGAAGGAAGAATCTAACCGACATAACAAACAGGTGGGTAAATAGATAAGGTTATGGACGTATGTCTCCTGAATGTTTTCTCGGAAGAGCGGATGTGACGTGGTGTTCCAGCAGTAGCACATTCACAGAGCTGGCTGGGAGCCAGTATGTCGGTTCGTCAGTCCGGGGGCTGCGGAACTCTGGGATATGATTTGTTGCGCTCCATTTTAGCTGGGCGCGTCAACTTGAGATAAAATCGACACAAAAATGTTGAAAAAAATACGTGTGCGCGTGAGACCTTAACTAACAAACAAATACTAATAATACCATTTGACAGAATAGGGTCCAAGCATTTTATCACATTTTTACGAGGAGAGAAATGTAATGTCACAGTTTAAAGAAAACACATCTATGTTGAGTAAGTTCTGCCAAAGATTATTGATCCAGCTGCAGCTGCTCGGTCTCCATGTTTCCAACACCACAGCCCGGAGATGTCTCCTCACACTTGTCGTCGCTAACCACAAGCCATCCCGCGGGAGATGTGCCAGAATTTAGCGAAAACTTTGAACATTCTCTCTGTTTATTTTCCCTACAAAATCCATGTATCTCAAGACGCAATGATGAGTGAAACAGTTATCTATGGGCGCTGTTTACACCACACAGCTTTCCGGTCCACATTTTTGTTCTCGACCACCGACGTACTGTTGTTCTCGACCACCGACGCACCGAAGTGCTAGCGTACAAAAATATATTCTTCCTATGTGTTGAACCAATCACATGCGGCCCAATCTGTTCTATTTCTAGTTCCTAATATAAATTCTCCTAGAATTCAATTCTGATGTTTGAATTTATTTTTATATTTGAATATATTTGATTCTATTTCAATAGCAACCGCTATTTAAAGTAGGTAAGGACTGAGACGTCTACGCTTAGTGGTGGTTATTTGACTTTCCACTTGTTTAAAGGAAAAACCCATACTCCAAAGTGGTTACTAAATCTAATATCCATCTAATAACAGGATCGTCTGTCTTCCTTCCAAGTATGGAAGGATGTTTTGCTTGGGCGGAATGACTAGGGAGGCGACCCTGGTCCCCTCGGAGACACCTGCATCATACCCCGTAACGTATCCATCTGTGGACGGCTCCGCTTCAGCCGAGACTAATCCACAGTCTAAATGGACAAGTTCCCGCAGTAATCCCAGGGCTTCACTTGCCTGACAGTTTACCTTCCTCGGGACAAATTTGGCTCCTGACGACATCCATCCTCGAGCATCCAATATCCAAGCAGATGGTGAGGTGGAAAATACTAACGTTTTCTGTATGACAGCCGTGTCCCTTGGGCCGCCAGAGAAGTCGGCAATCAGAAGAAGTTCCGATCGACACCCTCCTCCTCCCAACATCTGATTGGGCGTCCCACTGAGAGAGCGGTACCTGTTCTTCGTACTCTCCAATTTCTGAGCATTGCTTCCAATTGGCAATGATGTGGACATTTGTTCGTGTGAATGCTGCGGTCGGACTGCCATTGCCACCCACAACAGCACAATGTCTTACAAGGCATTTGAGCCCAGAGGCAATTTGGCAGACGTACAGCAATACCACACCATCCCTATACAGAACCATTCCTCATCACAGAATTTCGTACGGGTCATGATGTCGGAAATCTTACTCTTAGCGAGGCGACATTGGCAGGACGCTAGAGGAAACAATGGGGTAAGATGGAATGGACAGACTGCGGACAGACGGACAGAACAGCTACGTGGTTATTAGTGCTCAGGAGGATGATAAAGGCATTTCAGCCAGCCGAAAAACCCACCGGGTTTGGCCGAGGAAGTTGGCACTGCGGGGACTGTGTCCGAGAAACCAACACGGAATGTTATGCCTGGGCGGAGACGTGGAGAGTACCTAAAGTCAAGCTTAATGACATCGAACTGTATCACATAGGAATAGAATATTTATCGCAACTCTGAAATGTTTGTATGTACAAACTGTGCACTAACCTAGTCTCCACCAGTCTTCTTTTGTGAGCTGAATAAATCGTAGAAATCGGCCTAAAAAGGGTATTAATTGGCAAGAGAAGGTAGCCGGCCAGAGAAGCTCCATTTGCCATTTCGTTCTTTATGATAGAAAAGCGACGTCAGGCAACGCCTCTAGATCTCCCAAACCACTATGGGCTCCTATCGGCTCAGAAACCCCGGTCCGTTCCATGGGGACACGGACGCGCTATCTCTGTCCCACTTAGATATGAGAAGTCCGAATTTGTTGTGTGAGCGTTCCGAAGTCTTACGTGTCCGCTGGGATTGTTTTATCCGGAACAAGAAAACCAGTTAGTCCTGAGGATCAAGGGTTTACCGATAGAACATCATTGCGATGTAATGACAGACATGGGATAGGGTGGTATACAAAATGTAGATGGTTCGCGCGACACTCGTTCATGGTTTCGGCTGATTCGAAGCGGAAGAAAGAACAAAGACGGGACACAAACACAGAACATATAGTAAACGGGTAATCTCGGTCAACTGGCTATTGAAGAGCACAGATCGTAGGAAGGTGACAATTTAATTCCATCACGTTTAGATTTATTCTGCTGAGAAATAATTGACAGTCAAGACTTTCACAGATATGACGGATAAAACGTTATCATTCAAAGGTCGGGCTAGCCTCGAAAGCAGCCTTAGTGGCTGAACTTTTTCTTTGCTTGCTATATGCTGTTTTGTGATTGTGTATCAAGTTTATGGGGGTTTCGATTTTCAGCCTGACGATTTTCAGTCTTACGAAATAGGAAAAGTCCAGCCAAGTGTACGTAACGCCTGTATCTGCTCTACTGCATGTGCACTTTCAAGTTTGGGGATACAGTATCTGAATTCTTTGCATATGCAAGTAATACCAGAGGTTGACCATTTCCCAGATGGCTGCGCTTCCACGACTCGGTAGAAGCAACGGTAAAGGCGAGGTTCAGCTTCTATCGCGATCGGTCACGTCACACGGATGCCATCGGCTTACCTGCAGGTCGAAGGGGAACTTTCTACTTAATCTCGCGACCACAAGTTCTTACTGGGGCTTAAGATGGGACACTACTGGTCTTCTTACACACCTTCGACCTGTAGGGTGGCAGATGACACCCGTTTGACGTCATCACCATTGGGAAAACGTATCTACTAAACCGCCCTAAATCCGAATGTTTGATAGGGACAAGCTGTTGGATGGGCTTGCCGTCGGCATAGGTTTGTAGCTCATACCATACTCCATACCACCTCATTGCCCAGATCGTCGCAAAGTTCTGTTTTACTACATGTACACCACAGCACTGGGTTAGTAACTTTCATGCACCAGTGCACTGGATCTAGCAGTCCGATTTTAATTTTGTGACTTGCATGTGAACGAATCTTTTGTTTGACCTTCGGGCATGTTCGAAGATCATCTCCTATTTTATGGCCCTCGAATATGTTACCGCTCATGCATGATCTCCTACGTTCTCTGATAGCCACTTTGCCTGCCTTACCAGGCAATGGCGAATTTCAACACATGTGCATTACCTAGGTTTGTCGGTAGGAGTTGTGTATCATACAAAATCATCATACAGTATTCTAGTGCCATAAATAAATATATCGTCCGGTGATCACAAAGATACAGTCTGCTATACTTAGTACATAGAGGTACTATAATGGATTAAAATTTAAATGATATAAGCAATGTACAATCCAACGGTAAGTCATCCTGGACCAGACCCCTCTGTTACCCCCGGAGGTTAATGTTGACCGGTGCAGGGACCTTGCAGGTTGTTAAAAGGTGAGCCAAGTCGGTGATTATAGGACCAGGATTAATTGCGGGACCGTGACCAGACGACCCAGCGCGACTCCAGCCTCAGGGCCCGGGTCGGTCATGTTCGCACCCCGCTGCCGCTACTAACGTCTTACAGATCACAATTAAGGTCCCGACTCTCCACGGCCTGAAAAGTCTTTGCTCACCAGTAAAAACTACATTTGTCTTCTTTCAATACTGTAATTTTAATACTATGGGACCCTCAAAGAGTAGAAAATGCACTTAGTTTCATGGTAAAGAACTTCTAATTCTGCTCATTTCTTCTGCTACTAACGTCTTACAGATCACAATTAAGATCCCAACTCTCCAGTCCTGAAAAGTCTTTGCTCACCGGTAAAAACTACACTCGTCTTCTTTCAATACTGTAATTTTAATGCTCTGGGACCCTCAAAGAGTAGAAAATGCACTTAGTTTCATAGTAAAGAACTTCTAATTCTGCTCATACCTTCCGCTACTAACGTCTTACAGATCACAATTAAGATCCCAACTATCCACTCCTGAAATGCCTTTGCTCACAGGTCAAATCTATCTTCATCTTCTTTCATTGAATTGTAATACTGTAATTCTAATACTTCTGGGACCTCAAAGAGTAAGAAATGCATTTAGTTTCATGGTGAGGAACTTCTAATCTCCAAGCAGATCCTATGGGGTGGCAAAAGACAGTATCTATTCGTCATGACGCCAACTCTCCACTACCGAAAAGTCTTTGCCCACCGGTCAAAGCTGTTTATTGTAATGCATGTACTGTAATTTTGATACTTTGGGACCCTCAAAGAGTCCAAAATGCACTTAGTTTCCTGGTGAAGGACTTCAGCTCATGCCTTCACATTTGATACTTTATTACGTATTTTTATAAATGTGATTACATAGCACGTAAATTGCAAAAATACAAAAATGTAAAAGTAAGTTATCCAGAGCACCACTCACCGTGCATAAAATCAATCTTTACTCTGTGAACGAATACATCAAATAACCTACAAAAATGCTGCATGTAGAAACACCACTCTTAATAGCGATAAAAAGATCTTTGCATATATGTATATATATATAATGTATATGTATAATGTGTAGTGCACTGACCAAACATAAACTCAAATTGGATTTAGTCAAACTGTATCTGACATGCCAAGTGTGAAACTTCCTGGACGGAACCCCTCAGAAGACTACCCTCAAACACAAGATAGATACACTTTGACAGCTCAAGGTTACAAGCTGTGAACTACATAAGCTGTAGCAAAGCTGCATTGCACTATAAAAAAAGTATAAGCTACTTCAAAAAGCATTGATATATATCATGCTTCAACTCGATGGAGCATGACAAAACAACAACAACATTGGTCATGTACTGAAAACATTTCTAACATGCTGAGGTAGTCATAAATATCAACTATGGAAAATAATTATCACACTTCACTTACCACATAAATCATACACAATATTACCCATGAGAACAATCCTTTACCTACATGTAAAACTCTGATGATCGATAGAATACATTAATTATTATTAATTACCCTCAGTCCATTTCTGTATGCTACAGCTAAAAGAACATGGCTGTGCAGAAACAATTAAGTCTCTGCTAGCTGAACAGAGAAGCACAAATTTGGCTCTGTATTGAGTTCCACACATTCAAGCATTGTACAATGCTAGTAACAAGATTATATTTGTTTTCTTGGCACCTGTTTGGTTCTGTAACAGTTTTGATCTTAATTTCTCAACCTTTCACCCTTGCCTCTTCCTTGATCAGACATTTGGCGCCATATTGCAACTATGGCATGCCGGTGCTAAAGGTTAAGTACTTCAGAATTTCTTATTCAGCAAGAATGACGATGACCTGTGGAACTACTAGTAAGAAGTTGCACATTAAGCATGTGAAGATAAAAATACCACTCTTTCATTTACCCTTTTTCACAGAAGTTGAAAGTATTTCTCAACTTGTAAAAGATATAGCCTGATGGCAATAAACAAATCAGCTCATGTTGACTACATCTACACCTCTCCTCTGGACTTTAATTGTTGGTAATATTGAATTACCATCTTCTCTTGGTCATAGGTTTCTATTGAGCCTGGACGGATGCGTCGGATCTCTTCAATGGCCTCCTGACCTGAGATTTTCCTGGTCTTGACAAAGTAGCATGCGATCATGGTACCAGTGCGCCCCCTGCCCCATTGGCAATGAACTGCAACAGCCTGAGCAGAGATAACACACTTGACATTAATTATGCCAACCATGTGAAAATCAGCAATTTCATTCGAGGTCAAGTAAATTGTACATCAATATGAATAAAAAAAGACGTGCCATACATATACTGTACTAGTCATGTAATATCTGTCACTTTTTATTGATGCAACACAAGATATGAGTCTGACAACGGTAACCAGGCCTAACTATGACTAGTTAGTAAGGGTTGAGTGATATTGATAGCATGCTTGCACTCACTGGGTATGGTATAAATATTGTCTGCCATGTAAGACGATTAACTCGTTGCCAAAGTTGCCAGATAAACTTGAAGTTATGTTACGTAATGGCATGACATCCAAACACATTATAAACATATGATTCCTCCAGATTCAACCAACCATCAGCACCTCAGTGACCTCACATGCAAACACCCTACTGGTCCTTACACTGCTAATGACTATTCAAGAACAACTTTTTGTATAGACTGTTCTTATAGTGTTTTACATGTGAATATGTCTTTTACTGAATTTGTTGTCATGTCACAGCACAATCCAGCCATTCTGGCTGCTATGTTTGCGACATTGTTGAAATAAACCATTCATATAAGAATACTAGTAAGAATAAAAGATGATGACTGACCTCTCCAATCCTACTGTTGCTCTCCACGATGTGGATGAAGCGGTCCACCTGTTCAATGGTGGGGGGAGTGAAGTCCTCGATCTTCATGTGGATGCTGTTCAGTTTGGGACAGCTGTCCACAGGTGGCAGTCTGTAGGTGAGGGAGATCAGGTGCCGAACACCTTCCTTGTACAGCCATCTGGAGAAAAAAAAAGATTCACTCGTTTCCACGGTCTTTTGCAGAGCCAGAGGGTGCAGACATGATTTCATAAGTGCTCATGTTGCAGTTGCCCCTTTGCTATTATAACATTATAAATAACAAAATCCAAGTCTGAAAGCTGATTGCAAGTAATGTAACAGTGGGGGTTTATAAGCGCTACCAACTGACCCGGCCGATGGGTCTAGACCTTTTCGACCGAGCGGTTAGAGCGTCTGACTGGGGCTCGAGGTTGTGGGTTCGAACCCCGGCCCGGGACCAGTGGGTTTTTATCTGCTCGCCCCTGTTTCTTACGGTAACAAAATAATAACCTACATGTACATTAACAGTGAATACAACTTAGTTAGAAAAAGGAGGTTAAAAGTCAAAAGCTCCTTGAGATAGAACAAGGTGTTTAATCTATTGTATTCTATATAATATATCTATGTAGATAAGTTCTGTGTCCATGATTACATGCCCTTCTTTAGAGTCTACGGTCTACCAAGGAAACTGACACCAGACTGTTGACTTGCAGTGCAGGCAGTAATGTTACAAACCTGATGTTTTCTGCCCGATGTGGGAACGCCAGGGCGCACAGCTTTCCTTGGACCACCCAACTGAAACTGGAGGGTCGTTCTGCCATGTTGACTGGTCTGACAAGAACGGGCAAGCCTTCAAGGTTCAATGGGCAATGATTAACAGCGTAAAGAGACATCAGCATTGTGCTTTAAAGTATAGGGTGATGGACATATAACATTATAAGCTATAACTATATGTATAAGCACTAGTGTACTTAATATGGATATCATTGATTGTTGTCTTGGTTGATTATGAAGGTTTTTTTTATGTGTTAAATGAAAAAGATTGTAGTGGACATTCTATTCTTATATATATAGGCCACTTGTGCATATTTAACATGATCAATTAATGTTCTAACGTCACAGTGTCTTTGTTATGTTTGCAACTTTAACTTTATTACATAATTTCCCGTGAACTACAACATACTTTGGACTGAAATATAAACGTTCATTAATTATTGTATGATATTCAAAGTAGTAACGTTAATTTGACTTCTGGATTTGAAACTTGGTTATGTATAAAACATGCCCCCCCCCCTCAACAATTATTTTTTGGAACAGCCCACTGATTGCAACAGTTGTGTTTCATGCACATTCTTTCCTTTGACATCGCACATAGGGCCTGGATCACAGGACATCACAGTCATTAACCACCACAACCTTCAAAGAACGATACCTGTCACCCCCTAGACTCGGTGCAGTGTTAGGATGGACCTATATATGTCGGTTCTAAACAGCCTCAGGGGGAGGGGTGAATGGGCGGGGCACATCACATTTTCTTTACTCATTTTGTATCATATCTGCGACCATTCAACCGTGACTCCGTCCGTTTACAGTATACATGAAATAAAGCATACGTCAACACACACTGTACGGGTCAACCTTACGTTACCTGTGCTGTAGGACGAACCGCAGGAATTTCTAACTCGTTGATAATGTCGACATAATCTTACGGCCATCTGACCGGCAGATGGCAGTAAACATAGCAGTCTATTCGCAGTGGAATACGACGCCTTCGAATCGTGCGCTGGACGAATGTCGGACTCTCACGACAACTTTAATACAATTTTTTAAGGGCCCCCCTGAGGAATTTCAAACAACAGGAAAAACATATATCATATCCTCTAACACTTAAAACTCTGTAAAGTGTTGAAAGAAAAAATAGAGTGGGACTTCTGGACAGGTTGGCTTGCACTGGCCAACTGCCGACTTAGAAAGGCACAGCAGCCTGAAGCACTGATGACTGAATAACATCAATTGCACGAAGACTGGCCCGTAAAATTCAGTTACCATGTGGAGCCGGCCTGCAGTGACTGCAATAAAAAAAGTCAGTACTAACTAAACGGGGACCATTAATGATCACGGATACTCAACATGTCAAAAGAACTTCAGGTTGGACGGTCGACTCAAGATCATTGTGTCGACTCAAATCTTCTTGAGCTCACTAGTATGCTAAGCCTAGAAACGAGCCATGATCCGAACATATGATGTAGTAGTGATACACCAGTTCATTTCTGTAGCTTAGACCAAGGACATTATACATTCTCTATATAATGTCCTTGCTTTAGACATAATTTTGCGTGATACGTGAGCTCCGATGGCTGTATCTGGGCAGGGAGATTGCACGTCACATGACGTAGGACTCGGAATTGGGCCAAGTCTTGGGGGCGTGTTTGTCGTCAAAGATGAACTCACTTGAAGTAAGGGGGGTTCCCGATGTTTTGGAACGAATGGAATTCCGTAAACATCGTTCAGTCATGGCAGGCCAGGGCATGGCCTCGTCAGTTCTCATTTTGGGTTTTAAAATCGTTTTTCTATAAGTTGTATAATCATGGCTAGATATCTCACTGGCTCAAATGCTTGGCCAAATGATGGTGGACCTGCCCTTTCCTTGACATGCTTGTTGGGAACGAACGTTCGAGAGAACACGTTGGTAGGCCAGACAAGTAGGACCAAGTAAAGAAGGACCCGTCCACGAGCGATAACGACAGCAACTTCTGACAGGTAAACCTTTTAGCACAGTAATTCATATATTCGCGGTAGCCTGACGTTTTTCTTTACAGTAGCTGGTTGACCAGTAGCCTCTACCTATATACATGCCCGTATATACACCAGATGAAAGTTCTTTCTGTGGTTTTGTTGACAAACGCCAAACACTTTCTTTGTAGATGAAACGTTACGAACGGCACGAGTAGACGCAAGCTAACTAACGAATTGGAAAAGTGAGCCCCATACCGTGAGTGTCATAAAAGGCAGATTTCTCGAGTGCCGCTGTGCAAACTATGTGGCCTGGGCAAATTCTTGCGGGTCTGTCATGAGTGGTTAATTTGTTGCCTATTACGTGTACGCACATATGCAGAAAACAGGTCGCGACGACCGCACACTATCAGCAAACCAATACGTCGTACGAAAGCTATTAAGCGGCCGCTGGCAGGTTTTCACCAGCAGCAACATACTACAGCCAAGTGGTGCACGTAGGGTAACGTTAGTTGACAGTCGCTAACAGTTGTCTAACGGTGCAGTTTCTACCTTCGGATAAGCAGTTTTGTTCGAGACAATGGATAGATCTACTGACCAGCTGGAGTTCCGGGACAAGGATTTCGACCTGGATGTAAGTTAAGTATCACGTCCGTTTTTACATTGACAAAATGAGAACATCTGTAGCTGTGCAAGTCTCTGGTTACTGTCACCAACGCTGACCCTACGTGTCAAGGTCAGGGTTAGAATGAATCAGAGACGACTGTACATGTCAACATAATGTATTCTGTTACTCGATTGCAGAATGTTCGTGTTTTCTTGATATAACGGATACAACGTTCTGTGTCCGCATTCCTCGGTTGTTATTTACTTATATGTACTCGAGTTTTACTTCTAAAGTTGAATGACTTCTCAGTAGTAGGGTGGCATTCAGTGTGTACCTGAGGTCGAGTCCACTGAAGGTCGAGGTCGTTGATAAAGTGTCCATCAAAAGGAGAGCGGATACAAGAATTAATTAAACCGGAAAATATCTATCATCAAAGATTTTACTGATTTCTCTTTTGTTTTATTTCAGTCTCCCCGTGGTATCAAATTTGGCGGCGTGTCGTCCAAGAAACGCCTGCTCACAGGTGGCGTAGTGGTGAGACACTTTGTTTGTGTTCACTCTGACGTATTGTACATAACAACCTAATTTAGAGCAGGGAGACGATTGTGTGGTATATTGCCGTTTGTCTGTTAAATAACACATGTGTACACGTTAGTAGTGCATGACATAAGCACACCAAGAAGTTAAAAACGCCACTCCCGACCATTCCAAGGGATTGTGTGGATTATATTTTCAATGTAAATGGTGCGTCACTCAGGGTACTAGTAGTTTTTTTTCTCGTCTGAAAAAAGAAAAGAAATAAGAATGCATTTGGGGCGATATCCTTAATAATTCGGTCTTATGGAACCTTTGGTAAAGGCCAGGATAGGACTTATGAAGTGTGTGTATACTTTGTTACTTTTTATCATACGTAAAAACAGAGTTAAGTTGATGTTGACACTGATTGAAATTCCATCGTGGTTCTCCTAGGTTCTGCTCCTAGCAGTAGTTGGTTTGGCAGTCGCATTAGGCGTTGTCCTGTCAAGAGGCCCTCCTCCTAAAGGTAATGTTGACCCTTCAGAAAGATATCATTCAAGCGAAGTGAAGCAAACAGTTTAATGCTGCAGCGTAGTCCATACCTGAGAACACGTTGCTCTCCTATACCAGTTACGTCATGAGCTTTTGTGGGTGTTTTAGGGGCGTTGTCCGGCACAGCCAATAGGGATAAGGCGCCAAGAAAAAAATCAATACTCGAACAAAAGGGCCCACAGCCATACTTCCAGTGTCAACAAAGAGACTTTGCCGAAGATTTACACAGGAAGCAGTTTTCAATAGGTGAACTTTTGACTGAACTCAATATAACCCCGAGATACCCCACTTCAACGGGAACTACTTACCTATCTGGAGTGGCAGTGCTACACTAGGGGTGGTTTCAAGTGTTCCTTGTTCTTGCTAACTATTGCCTACGTCTGATACAACTTATTGGCATTGTTGAGCTGTTTTAGGCTTGGTTCAAATACGTATTCCGATGAGACAGTGTTAGTTATTATTGTGGCCGACATTGAAAAGGTTACTATGATTCCTATCCTGTAAAGGAAAATGCTTCATGTCAAATAAAACCCGACCCGCCCTTCTCGATCTAAAGAAAAAAGGCTTCGATTGAAAATGTGTCTGAACGTTCGAGCGAACTATTGAGGTTACTCGTGACAAGTGTCTAGGCAGGTATCAGCACACGTGGCGGTCACAGCGCCCTGCACCTGTGCAAGTAGACGGATCACGCACATCGCACATGCCGGACATTCCCCCCTCACTCAGCACGTGCACAGAGCGGCATGCGCAGAATAACCAGGCCTGCATGATGACTGGCGATTTCTCTCTGAAACTGTACACGGGATATTATCCTCACTTACGCGAACGTGAACTGATATGCTTTCCGACGGTCAAGGACGTGCTCCCTCACACAGTCAAACGTGGGCTACTGTAGAGAACAATTAGTGCCCAGTGGACCGAGTCAACAAGACCTATTGACCATGGCTCACAGACCTATGCCTCCCTACGAGTGCACAATCGGGATTGCTGGATTGCAGGAGTACCCCATAAATCAGTGAACCCTGAAACCTTGAATAGGCACATTTATGATCAGTAGAAGGCCGGCTAGGTGACCAGTAATCAAGAAAGTAGGGGAATGATAGAAACGTCACGACTTTTCCTTCCAAGATTTGCTCGGAGTCAATTGACCTGTCAATGTTCATGTTTGGCCTGTCACAACTATTCGGACACCCTGTGGACATCGTGCGAGGTACGGGTTTGTATGATGTCCTCGGCTTAGTGTCTACCAGACTCCTGATATACAAATACACCAGAAATTGTCCAAATATGTAATTATAATTTGCCAGAGGTGTTAGCCTGGGTTATACTTATACTTATATATGAGTAACTCTATGGTGGGCTAACTCATCCTGCAAATTATTCTGCTTATTTGGACAGTTTCTAATATTTTTCCAGCAACTCAAGACCCTGAGTATAGTGGAGATTTCGTTGAGGGCACATTTTGCTTGAAATGTCATGGAGGCAAGGCATAAAGGGCAAACGATGATTACAGCTATGGATCTAGATACAGTGTGGCACATTTTTGCACATATAGACTTACGATTCAAGCAAACATTGATGAGTGATCACGCTAATATTACTCACGATGGACGACAGGTAACGTCAACGGTGCGTCGACGCATGGTCCCACAGCGCCTCCTGCCGGAACAGCCTTGCCTGGCAGGGAAAGGCGGTACAATGGCGAGGTCGTCCTGACCTTTGTTCGAGGAGAGCCCGCCAGTTTTTCCGACGATCTCGCTGATGGCGCTTCAGCACTATTCGTGGAGTTGGCCACTTACATCGAAAGAGAGGTAGGGGTTAGATGTAATACACCTAATGCTATAATGGGAATAACCGAAAGTGTAAAGTAGAACAATGCTGAAGCCTGGTATACCCCCGCACATGTACGTATCGCCTAAACGTCTTGAAATCCTATATTTTCTATCATTTTGTGTGCGAAACTGTGACTTCGAAACGACTGAAAGAATTAACAGCCGTGAACAGATACTAGTATGAACGCCAGACTCACGGGTTTAAGTACCGTCGACCCATAGTTTGTACCTTGCCGTGTGCACTCTTGCTGAGGCAACCATAGAGACACAATTTTGTGTTCCTGTGTTTACAGATCAATGCTATTTTCTCGGAAGGAGACCTTAAGAATGTCTACAGTGATACCGAAGTTACGGGCTTTGCCGAAGATGACTCGGGAATCGTCGCAAACTTTGTTCTACGGCTCCGGTCATCAAAATTCCCAGCAGAGATTACCGCAACTTTCCGAAATGGCCTCGGAGGTGCCGAAAACAACTTACTGGGAACCGGCGGTTACGTCATTCTTCCCGAGTCCCTGGTCATTCAGGGCGAAGGTACGTGACTTGAATAGACATCCTTAACACATTGGGAGTACGTGTACATAGAATATGCACCTGCAGGACTGTCGATGTCAAGGAATGCTCTTCGTCGGTGATAGAGTAAGGCTGTTAACACTGTTGTGTCCATCACAATTTGCATCAAACATACTGTAGTGTAAATTTCCAAGCAGATCCGTTTCGGTGGCAAGACATTACCCATTAGCCAAAGGAGTTTGAAGAGCCTCCTCTGGCTGATGAATACTGTCTTGCCACCGAAAGGGATCTGCTTGGAGATTAATCGTAATGTACCATGTAGAGGACAACTTCTAACCTCTGAATGCCTACCGATGCTCGCAGGTGACGTGACGACCACGAAGTTGCAGATGACGCTGACAGCCATGGCCGGCCTGCCTGCGCAGTACACCGACAGCCTGGGCGACGAAAACTCGGCTGACTTCCAGAAACACGCGGTAGCCATCGAAGAGTCGGTAGGTGTACAAATGAGTTGTTACCAAGGCTTATAGGAAGTTAACGGATTATGTTAATCCAGTCTCGCCCCTACTTGGAGTCTGCCAAGTCATTTAAGATTTGGGTGCATACTACATGTACATGCATTCGGCCACATGAGATAGAGCTATTATGATATGCATCACTCTCTTTTGAAACTTCTTTTAATGTATTACCGCAAAACAATGCATGGAGGGTTCGAAAATCTACATACACAGCAGTTTAACACCTAACCGTTAAAACATCTTGCTGTTATACTGCAGGTTGACATCCTTTTCCAAGGGAGCGACATAGCGTCCACTTATGAAGGCTGCAAGGTGGTGTCTTTCCGATCGGCACCGTCAGGGGGCGTTCTTATGGAGATAGAAATCTACCAAGCAGTGGATGCGGCAGTTGCGGCGGTCCACTTGGCCAACATCTTTGAGACTCGTCTTGGCGGCGGGTTGAACAACATCTTGGGGAGCGAAGGCTACTTTGTGGACCCAGGCTCACTCCTAGCAGGTAAGTATTCCTCACTAGTCAGCTATACATATATAGACAGGCACAGGAAAAAACACCCAGTCAAGTACGGATACTATAGCTAGACCACCCACTGAAACCCATCATGATGGTCGGATGAGCTGACGAATAAAGAGGAGCGGTCAAAACTGGACGGCAATCCTACCCGACCGAAGACTCTAATCTAGTCTAACCTTCTCTACTCTACTCATTAGGGACATCAGTTTATAGTCAATCGGTATAAATCAATAGTCATTGATTATCATCGTTTATTTTTGTCTGATTCTCAACCAACTTCTCTCCTCCGCTGACAGTGCCGAGCTGGCTGGGTGATGACGTGGTGCCGGGACCAGAGCTCTCCTGTCCTCCAGGGTATGTGTGGTCGTCAAGTTCTGGGGGTGGCAGTTTCTTACAGTCAGTCGCTCCATTGTCGTTAAATGTAGAGTCGTTTTATCGTCTATCGCTGCCCAAATACTAGTAATGATAACAAACTGCCGCTACGTCGATTCTCTCAATCACTGTGCAGTGTGTTACTGACATATTGGTTTTTGATCGACGATTAGCATTTCGACTATTTCTATTTCTACGTTGGTTTACATCAAGAGCGTTTTGTTCTGATTCAGATTTTCCGAGCCCCCCTTGATACTGATCTCCCTGGACGGCTTCCGGGCAGACTACCTTCTGAGGAACGTCACGCCCTACCTGGGCAAACTGAGTGAGTTAGCCCGCATCCGCTTAAAACACGTTACTCCTGAGTGGCTTTAACTATTACAAGATTGCAAAACATTTGAGAACTTCTACACCGGTCTCATCGCTTGTAGTAACGCAAATGTAACGTTAATAAACTCCTGCTGTGCGCTAGTAACATATACAAACGTACGCATTTTCCAGGTAGGTATGGGTCCCATGCACCGTACATGAGAGCACAGTACCCAACCAAGACCTTCACAAACCACTACACTCAGGTCACCGTGAGTACTGCCAGCTACAAAACGGCTGACAATCCTGAAGACAATCTGCGAAATCTAGCTCATGAAGGATAATTCGCTAATCTTAGATAAAGAAAGTTGTTAATGCTTACCTGAATAGTAAGCGGTTATTGATATCACACAAAAAATAAGTCGAAAGGTTTTGAAAGTTCAAATGTAATGCTTAATTTCTATTGTAAGATACATACACAGTATATTGTTGTTCTTTTGTCAGTCTGCTTGTCTTTCACTGCTACATACGTAAAGAAGTAAGTTACAAAACACACCGATCTGTCCCCAGGGCCTGTACCCGGAGTCACACGGTATCGTCGACAACCTGATGTACGATAACGTGTTCAGGGCCACCTTCAGACTGTCCAGCTCGGAAGCCAAGAAGGCTCGGTGGTGGGGAGGGGAGCCGGTGGGTGTATTCTTCTTTGTGACGTCTTGGTTTTCTTTCTAGTTGTACTTTTCGTTTTCTTCCCTATGTTTTCTCCCTATAAATCCCCGATTCTGTGGTAGTTGTCCCATTGAACAGAACTAAAAGTTTCTGTTGTAAGTTCAATTGAGCACAGCTATCTATGGTTTGGAGCTAGGCTAGATCCCACCTTGACATCTCTTTTGCTCATGTCCAGTTGTGGAACACAGTAGAGCAGCAGGGACTGAAGGCGGCCACGTACTTCTGGCCGGGGTCAGATGTGGACATCCAGGGCATGCGGCCAAGCTACTATTACGATTACGATGGGTAATTATGATATTACTATGAGACATTTACTTTCGTTCTTGCTTAATGTTTTTGTGATGTTTTGTAATTGTCACTTTAATATCTGCTCGTTTTCGGATCGTCCGGGAATGCGATATGGTGACACGTTGCTGTAGCATTTGCAGCATTAAGAACAAGCCGTCATAATCAAATTATCGTTGTCACAGGAGCGTGTCCTATGAAGACAGGGTAGACCAAGTCCTGCAATGGTTAGAACTGCCTCAAAATGAACGGTAGGTTCGTTTCGTTCTGTTAGAAGTACCATGATGCCATTAACAGTGATGACTTTTGGTAGAAATCTCACGTTTGTTTCACTGATTTGGGATGCTTTTCTTCGTTATCTGCGAACTTTTTTGTAGATCTAACGCTAGATTTGATTTCTTGATTTGTAGACCCAGCCTGCTCATCACGTACTTTGACCAGCCGGATCTCGCAGGGCACATAAACGGACCGGACAGCGAAGCCGTAAGTAGAAACCTGAAATATCGCATCAACAACAGGATCTGCTAGGAGCGTTTTAATGTTGCCTTTTAAGCTGATTATGTCTGATTCAAGACCACATTATCAGTGCGTGCTACCAAGACTTGGATACATTTGACCGTGTTTCTTCTTTTCCACTTTTCTGCGTGTGTTTCCATCAGGTGTATAAGGAGATGATGCGTGTGGATGCGGTCATCGGTCGGCTCATGGACGGTCTGCTCGCCAGGAACCTGTCGGACTGTGTGAACGTGGTGGTGGTGGCAGATCACGGTAAGAAAAACATCATGTAACATCATGTTGTGTGGGTCGTGTGGCGCAATGGCAGCGTGCGCGACTCGGAATCAAGAGGTCCCGAGTTCGAGTCCTGACATGCTACCGATCTTGTGCCCTTGGGAAAGGCACTTTACATGATTTCCCCACTAGACTCAAGTGAAAATGAGTATTGTCTGTCCAGTATCCGTTTCTATGTGCGGGACACAACACCAGCAACAGCTGCCTCTGCTCCACGTGCATTGCATTGTTGCAATTTCAATAAAATAAAATAAAAAATCATGTAGGAAGCCGGGGACAGGTACCACAGTGTCAGTAGTGGGAATATCATTCAGCACCAGGGACAGGGACAACAGTGTCAGCATGGATGTCATTCAGCACCAAGGACAGGAACAACAGTATCAGTGTGTACCGTTTAACCTAGCCATTTAATATCTTTTGCCTGAAGCGCTGATCATCATCATGGCTTTGTTTATTTTCCAGGTATGACACCAACGAGCTGCGACAGAGTTGTTTTTCTGGAAGACGTGAGTTAAACTTTCCTTAATTAAGTTACAAAAGTAATGTTTGAAACACTCTATCATCCACTAATGCATATTTCTTGAAAATGGAGTTTGTGAGTATTGACGACTGGATTTTGAAATGTGTTGCAGCTGATTGACATCAGCCCGCTGTATGTGTCACGTGATGGTACGCTCATGCGCGTCACTAGGTCCTTCTACGCACCGGAATCTTATGTCTGTAAGTACCGCCATTAAAATCACACCCACGATTTCAACTGGAACTTCATCTCTGTTAAACGAAAACAAGAAACTTCACGCTAGTACATGTACTTTGGGGCATTTTACGCGGTTGCCTTGTGCTACATGTGCGGTAGTACCAAGGGGCTGTAGTAGACACCAACGCTGGCCTTGAAAGATAAAATGCACCTCCTTGCCTTTTCAGGGGATCCCGATGGCTTGGTGAAGAATCTGACGGTCAGTCTTTCATGCTATATTTAGTGAAAGATACACAATTCTTTCCAGACCTTGTTTGAGTGTGACCTTGTTTAAGTGTTCAGAACAATCTATCTTTGATTAGCTAGATTATATCTGGCATCTCCCATCTTCATCCAGTGTCACAATGCATGGGATCGAGGCCCCAGCGAACTGCCAGAACTGCGTCCCATCATGAATCCCATGATGGGACGCAGTTTGCACGGGAAAGCTATGACGTTAATGTTTTATGTTATGGTTCCTTTTGTTGCTGGATGGTAACTTATGTTTCCTTCCTTTCTGTCTTCCCACAGTGCGCCGATGACCACTTCACGCCCCACACTAAGCAGGCCGGACTGCCCAAGCGGCTCCACTACGCCAACAACCGCAGGATCGAGGACGTCGTGTGCACGGTGCAGGATGAGTGGCTGTTCGCCAGGTGGCGTGGTTTATCCTCTCATTCCTGTCGGTTTATATCTCTATGCCTATTCGAATGAAAGCTCATCCGAGTTGGTAGATTCCATAATTATAGAGTTCAAGCTTTGTTCCAACACAAGAACTAGACTCACCATAAATTTTCGGTCGATCTCGTCAACCTTCGTCAGATGTGAGGTGCACTCGCTGACTCCCATACATTTGACGAAGGTTGACGGGATCGACCGAATATTTACGGTGCATGAGTCTACTGTTGGAACAAAGCTTGAACTCTATAACTATCTATGTCTATGATTGAGGGTTTACAGTGACCACAGGGACTTGGAAATGAAAATGGCCACAGTAGACAAGTGGACGGATCAATGGGAAAATAACCTAACGGACGACCAAAAAGCACCCACAGTGGCCCTTATGTACAGATGGTTAAACTAGTCTAGGTTTGAATGTTGGAAACTTCACTTAAAGGAGAGTTTCTCTCGAAATGCACGATTGCATATTTTTGGCCACGAAGTTCAGTATAGACATTGGCTTTGGGTGCTTGCGGGAATCATACTCCAGCCAATACACCTTAACTTTTCATTTTTAGGACGCACAGTTTTAGTCGCTGTGAAGGCGGCGAGCATGGCTACGACAACGACTTCAGAAACATGTCGGTATGTGCCTGTGCGCCGTGGTTTGGGCTTACAAATATAATTTTCTGTTGAGGCATTCACAAATCGTTTCAATTTATCGTAACACACGGTCTAGTCAAATGGTTAATCATCTAATTATTCTTCCTTTCTAGGCATTGTTTACTGCTTACGGACCCGCCTTCCATCAGGGTCTCGTGGTTGACCCTTTCGGCAACATCGAGCTGTACAACATGTTCTGCGGTACGCGCGCTCCTCCAATACTTCAGCAGCAATTTCCTGTGGCATTTTATGACGGATGTCTGGTTTGATTTTGTATTCTTTAGTATGGTAGATTTTCGAACTCAATTCTTAAGTCTTACAGAATGCAGTGTCTCTACTCTGATATCTTTTTAGTCTATCTCATGCGCCTTGTTTTTCTTACCGGCATCCATGCAGATTTACTGGGCGTAACTCCCGCCCCGAACAACGGCACCAGGGGCAGTCTGAACCACCTCCTGCGGCAGCCCAGGGCGACTCCCCCGCCCCAGGAGGACGGTCTGGACCCTGCCATGACCTGCTCATTTCCCAGCACCGCGTCTGACTACGACTCTATCATCGACGCGACCATGTCCGGGTGTCTGTGCAACGTAAGTATGTATAGTCAGCAGCCACTTCAGGATGTCCCCTTTTCTCATTCAGCTAATCAACCAAGAAATGGATCCATATGAAAACGTAAATAGATATATAGGTCTGAGTCGAGGAGTCGATATAGCTACTGAACAACACAGCTCAAGACCACGCCAGTCTCTACTGATAATATACTAGTACATGTAGTATGAAACACCCGAAGTCTTATGGTGTCATCATGATATACATGTGTATCTGTCTTCAGGTTGACCAGTGGAGTACATATGACCAAAACCTCAACCTGACGGATTCACAAGGTAACAGTTACAAGCATAAGTTATAGTAGTCTCTTTTTTCATTCGGAAGTTTCATCTGTTGCGTCATTTCAGGATTATGGTAGACTTGTTCTACGCTGTACAGAACTGCCTACATCTTTTGATTACCTCGTCAAATTGTCATGTCCCTACAGTCTCAGAGTATCAGCAACTTCACCTGCCTTCCGGAACGCCCCAGAACGTCTTCACCCCGGAATACTGTGTCCTGACAACGGCCAAGTACGTCACAAGCTTCTCCCAGCAGTACGTCATGCCGATGTGGACGGCGTTTACACTGGACCAAGTATGCATCCCTTTATCAAATAGATAACATAGGCTCGATGATACATTTTTACATTGCTGTAATCAGGATCACTGTGAACACTGTGAAATAACATGCATCTGCATGCTCGAGCTTCTTGCACTTCGGTTTCCCAACTTGCCTGTCTTGTGTTTCGGTACGTTTTTTACTCACGCAGGCAGTCTTTAGTGAACACCAATGTATACACATTTCTGTATCTGTATAGCCAGTATTTGTGGGCACGCGGCGCAGCGGCAGCTAGCTATATTACACCGAACGACCTGTTACAATCTTTGCACATCTCGTACATAAGAATGAAATAAGCGTGATTGTCAGATTTAATATGATACTTCATCCAGACCACGCAGGGCCTCTCGTCCGAGATCGCAGACTGCCTGCGGACAGACGTCCGACTCCCGGCGGGGCAGGCGGCCTCCTGCTCCGAGTACCAGAACACGAGCCTGTCCACAGGGTTCCTCTATCCGCCAGGTGGGGCAATATTTTTCAAAGAATGTTTAGACCTTAGAACAAGTAGTACACAAGTTAATTAATCTATTGTCTTGTACGTAGGTTCATTTCGTTGTACCAATGTATCTGTCTGTATGCCTACGTGTAGTTATAGACCTTACGAAAGTCGCTGTACTTTTGTTGTGTCAATAAAGTTCTTCTATATTCTCGGTTCTGTCACATTTTGGGAACATTTGTTGGATTAGACCTGATATAATTTAAGATCACGTTGCATCAATCAGCAATTGGCTCAGTGCATTGAATGAAATACTGTACAGTCACCGAGAACATGGTCAGATTTCCTTAGACCTGTGTCAGTAGTCTGTAGATACTTTCACTACAAACAGTGAATTCGAAGGTTTTCCTTTTCCCCTCCCAGGTCTGAGTGCGGACCTGACGGGACAGATGGACGCCTTGGTCATGTCTAACGTCGTGCCGCAGTACCGGGGATTCAAGGAAGGTCTGACCATCCATTTTTCCCTGCATATTAGAACTACATTGTACAATGTACCGTATCCTGTGTCCAAATAAGCAGTAACAACAGAGACATTAACGGCCCGCCATAATCGGCGCTATGCACTGAAATGCGGCGATGATAATGACTGTTTTATATCTCACAGCTAACATGATCAAACCAACGCATCTGCTCGGAAATGAACAATCATGTGATACAAAGATTCTACCATTACTGTGTGACATCCTTCTACATGTCTTTTCTTCAGAAATGATCGTGATATATATGACATATATATATCATCAATCGCTGCATTTTACAGGCATTTGGAACTTCACAATGAGCCTAGCGGCCAGTTGGGCACAGACGTATCAAGGCGTCCATGTTGTCGCTGGACCCATATTTGACTACAACTTTGATGGAGTGAGGGACAACATTACAGCCGACTACATGAGGTTCGCGGATTTTCCGTTCTCACTTGCCACATTTGTACGCAATTTTGTTAAGCCGTATTGTCTTTGCGTGATTATAGAAAGAGTGTGCAAATACTAACCTGCGATAGCTTTACTTGCATTAGACTTAGCCTCCTTCGCAGATTTGTGGGGCGGCGGCGTTAATATTTTCAGGGAGCGATGCGAGTCATACTGTGGAGGGACGGCCGTTATGCGGCGAAACCCTCTCTCCCCGGCAAAGTCCCTCAGCGGCAAAACCGTCCCTCCGTGGCATAACTCGCGTCGCTCCCCGAATAAAAATAACCCCGCCACCCCACAAGTCTGCGAAGAAAGTAAATGCAAGTAAGGCTAACGCAAGTAAGTACTTGGGAAGGAGGCTACATTAGACTATTTGCTGCCAACATTTCCAGTAACGTTACTTTTATGAGGGCCTTATGATTGTAAACACGGCGTTATTCTGCCCAGGTTCGTTGAGGACACTGTGACAGGCGTGCCCACCAGGATCCCGCTGCCCACACACTACTTCGTGACGGTCACCAGGTGTGATGGGGACAATCCTCCCACAGTGACGTGTCCCAGGTGGCAGGTGGTGTCTTTCATCCTGCCGCATGCAGACAGCACCCCCACCTGTATGGTAAGTCAGTCTCCCCTGCAACAGGTTTGGTACAAAGTAGATTGTTCCACACAATGCACGTACATTTAAGGCCTGTCCATACCATGGTATATTCATCCAAAACATCCTTACTAGTTATCTCTGCAAGCTCGAGAAGTCGCCTACAAAGAGAAAGAAAATATTTTACAAAAAAACATCTTCCCAGCTTTGAAATTGTACTGGTCCATACATTTGACTGCTGCAGTATTTGCACGATAGCTCATGATCATTTGTGCTGGCAGTGTGCTGTAACAGCGTTTTAGCTTCGTACTTTGCTTGAAAATTACATTACATGAGTCATGCAGTGTTTGACATGATCATGCTACACGACACTGTGACAAACTTTGTTTTTTGTCACTCAACCGCGACGGGGGCCGACATCGTCTACCAGATACCTTTAATTTGACCTAGTGTGGACATCACATTTCAAAGAAGCTACGTGACAAGCTTCACTGGGTCAGTCAACTGTGGAAGATCAGAGTGACAGGTCGAAATCTCTAGATGAGAGAACTTTATTGTGTTGGATCAAAAGTTTAACTTTAAACACGTTTTGTTTTGTTGTCTTATTTCCCTGCAGCCTATGCGGGAGTACCTGTCGATGCACGTGGCCCGTGTGAAGGACGTGGAGCTGCTGACGGGCCTGACGTTCTACCGTGACCTCCCCGTCACCGAGGCCACCCGGCTCAGGGTCCACCTGCCTGAGACCCAGGACCTCTGGGCATGGGCATAGACTCACACGTGGGGCTGCAGTTTACATGATTTGGACGAGAACTGGTGGGGACATGATGGTGGAGATACTAGTTCACTGTAGTAAAAAACCCTAGTCTCCACCAGACTCCTTTGCAGGCTGAATAAACAGTAGAAATCGGCCTGAAAATATAACTGGCCACAGGAGTTGGCCGGCCATAGAGGGTCCAGTTTGCACGGACACATACGACCAATCTGAACCGCTAACCAGTTTGTAACACACACTGTTCATCTTCTGTACTAATGTTATCATGCCCTCTTACTCAGTAAAATGATTTACCCTAACTTAACTCTAATTGGACCAATCCGTACCCATATGTTTCGTGGAATGTGACTAGCTGCAATTATTTAATGAGTGCGTGGTGTAAAAATCAGTGGATGGAAATGAATTTGATTGTTGTAAGTTCTATGCAAAATGAAGTTAATGGCATTGTAAAAAGGCCATTTGAGTATCTATAAGTATAAGTAAGAATTTAAACTGATGATGTGATATATGTATATGTGGCGCACATGTCATATTGTATACTACCAGTGCATGTTTTGTGGTAAATATGTGTTCCTGTACGTACTTTGATGGATTGTGTGCAGTTTTATTGGGTCACTCTTCGTGTGGAGTGGTGACTACATATCCATACCCCAATCCTGGTTGGATTGTAGCTGGCTTTTGCGTACTGAGATTGTTTTGCTTTATGAGACTACATGTATTACACAGTCATCAAAGAGGTTCTCAAACCGAGTTGTACATGTGATGTATAGACAAAATAAAGTTCTATTGTTCACAATCAAGCAGTGGGGCGACTTCGTTGGATACTGTAACATAAAAAGCAAAATAAACTCGATTTGTGTGTCTTTTTGTCTGATTTCTGCTCAGAAACATATTTCCAGGTCTAATGTGGTCTAGCGCTATATCTAAAGAAAAACAATCGTTCATCTCCTAAAACATGCATTTTATTACACACAGAGAGAGAGAGAACATGCAGGTGTGTGATTACACAATGTCATGTGTCTATAAGAATTACATGTTGCTTTCGTACCAAGTATGTCTAAGTACGGCGCCAATAGAGGCCGTTATTAAAAGCGCTTGAAGGTGGAGTCACTATTCGGGCGGCATGTACTTAGTAACTAGTAACTTCTGTGTGACACAAATCCCACAGATCACTGGGTAAACCAGCTAACGATGGACTTGACGAGAGTATAAAAGTAACCTTGGCCATCGGCCTTTTCGTACTCCGCTGCGCAGACGTAGTGGTTCCCCTGCTCGAGCGCGCAGAACAGATCGTTCCTACAGGCGGCCCACCAGGAGTCGCAGTAGTCCGCACGAATCGGCATGCCCTCAATCTGCCACTTGTTGTGACGGGGGTTGGACGCGTCGAAATCCTTGTCGGAGTACATGCGGTAAAGACCTTACGGTAAAAAGAAATTTGGTCAGAAACCATTATCCACAAAAGAAGTTGACTTCGCCTGAAATTTTCCATAAGCAAACACCACATTGATTGCCCGTTGAAACGCATCTTGACACAGAAACAGGTCGGGATGGGTGTCTTTTTGCCTTGTTGATATCGCCTGTCAGTGCACTTGGATATGGATGATATGGAAGCAGCGGTGTTAGTAAGGACTTATTATGTCTCAGCACCTGCAATGGCGTGGCCATGTTTCAAGAATGGATGACGTAAGGATACCCAAAACAGCCTTTATTTGGAGACCTGCTGTGAAAAGAAATAGAGGCAGACACAAAACTACCTGGAGAAGAACTGTGACTGTGTCAGATGACCTGACGTCTGTGGGACTGTCCTGGCGATCACTAGTGAAGAAGGTGGCCGAGGACAGACCCAGATGGAAGGAAAAAGTCTCGGCCTTATGTCTTAAGGGATGAAGAGGGTATTAAGTAAGTAAGTACCTGCATTTGGATCACACTCGTAGAAACACGCTTCCTGCACGAAGAAGCGCTCGCAGGCAGCCGACAGCGTCCCGCAGCGGTCCCAGCGCCACTCCGGCCCGTAGTTCTGGATGATCTTCTCCGGGGAAGAGACGGTCTGCTGGCGGCAGCAGGCGCGGTTCTTCCACGGGTGGCACTCTGTGAAGTTGTCGGGCTCGGGGCCGGGAACAGTCTGTTAACAGGTAACAAATAGTAAAACACCACAGAAAATACTTACTAGTAGTAGTAGACGCTGTTGAGATATATGCATTATATAAAGTTTGATCCTAAACTATTAAGAAATATCCGCTCTTTCGGTGAAAGTTGAACTATTTATACTTTAAAGCACACGCAACATTTGGTCCAAAGTGCTACCTGTGTGATAAAAACGTACCTGAAATTAGCTGAACACGCAGTTCAATATAACAAACCTCTTGAGTCTAGACTAATTTTCGCACTTGAGTCAAGACTTTGTTCAGCAAACAATTTGAAATCAGTGGCTTGGGTCAAACATCGATAGTAACTTGTCATCAATGCTAAGAACACATGTAAATACCGCCCCAGCCCACCTTGTGCAGGTATTGCAGGTAACACTTGTTCGGAGGAGTCTTTCCGAGCTTGTGGGACACCTTGTCGTTCGGGTTGTCCCGCTCGAAGAACCACATGGTGTAGGCCCTGCTCAGGTCGGTCTCGTACACGAAGGCGCCGTCCCACATCCTCTCACACAGTTCCTTCCCGGACGGGTAGAGTTCCTGCATCGGACGGCAGGGGACGTCTGCCGCCACTGCAACCCCGGCAACGGCCGCTAGGAGAACCAGCATCATGGGCGCCATGGTGCCTGTAGTTTTTCGCACAGTTAGGTAAAATTAATGATTTATTTCTTCGAAATTAAAGTCTCCATACAAGTCACCATTGGCAACCTTAACTTGACTAAAACATAGGTAGTTGTGTTACTGATGCAAGATCTGTGTGTGTGTGTATTGAAGACCCATAAGTAACAGATACATGGGTTGGCTTGACAGAGAAAAAGTAAGTTCACACCACAGAAATTCATATCGAGCAGCTTTTCTTTGACAATCACAAAAGATCAACTTTATGTCTCTGTAAGGTATCTAAACAAAGTTTAGACGATTCTTTTATGGAATCTTCTTTGAAAGAGATCATTGCCAAATGGGAAGCTAACAATGGTAACATAAACCGGTAGTAGATGTACGCATTACACAACCTGTTTCTCTCCGCATCTGATACTAACAGAACGCTGTCAAATCAAGTCAAAACCGTTCCAAAATCATATCCAGTTGCTTGAGTGACCGTTTCAAAAGAACTATCATAGAAAAATGACCATGGCCTTGACAAGGACGCCGGTGTGCACGTACCTTGTTCAGAAGAGACGGGATTTGCAGAGGTGTGAACTTGTCTCCAACTTTGTTTTTTAAAATCGTCAGAAGAGTCTGAAAATCTCTACTGTATTTGTTCACGCATGCCTAAATGATCGCAAAGCTCCAGTACAGTCCAAAGGTGCAAATAAACAACCTTTCCTCCTCTCTGTTCAAGTGGTTCATTACGTCATTGTTTGAACTTCATAAATGACAGGAAAAAACAACTTGGGTGACCAGATTTTCTTGGACCTTGGAGATTAAAAATCAAGTTTAAAGCTCCTTGCTTGGAGCATGGATGTAGAACCTCCATGCTTGGACAAAATCTACAGAATGCCCTGAAGCATGCTCTCTCACATTTGAATCAATAAACACTTGTTATACAATTCACATTGTACTTTCACAGCTTTTGTTTACAACAAAGTTTATTCTTCTATTTACAACTAGACTGAGTAGCCTAAATGAAAATATAAATCTCAAGAAACACGGCAAAATACATGTATCATAACTGTACATTTTGCACATGGTGATAAACATGTATCACCCAGACAATCTACATTACATCTTGGCAATTATCCAACAAAAGATGGCAAACATCCTGCTAGCATAACACATGAAACCCACTGACTAATTCAGTCAGTCAATCAGTGCAAAGTTCATCTGAGATAACTCCTGGTCATAACAAGGTCTGTTTACTCTACATTGTGCTGAAACCTAATGTTATGAGTTGCTCGTACATTTTGCACCATAAGACATGGGTTGATTGTAAGTTTTGAACCATAGGATATTCACACAAACCATTAGAGTAGCATGACATGGTGGAAATACTTGCACGAATGGAAGTATTCTACATCCAAAATGGTGCCTTTATGTAACGATAAATTATACATTTTTAATAAGCCAAAAATGGGAGAATAGACATATTTATACATTTGCTTTCAATAAACACTTGTAGACATATTTGGCACAAAACTCTTACAATATACACATGTATAATATATATATATATATTATTTCACTGAGTAATGATGTGTGGGCATTGTAGACCTTCAGTAAAACTGAGATGGTCAGACTGTAACATAACACATGTATGAAAACTATGCCACATTCTTCTGCACATTAATATCGACCAGTTTAACAGTCAAGTGACAACATTTAATGGGTGTCTATACAATATACAGTGGCACATATAAACACAGATACAAAATAGATCTTACTCCTGGGTGCTACCACTAGGGATATTGTAGAAAAAATACAGGAGGACACATCTGTCTGATGTGTACATAACAGGATGAAGGATTGTACACAGGCAAGTCAGTACATCAGTATGCAAGTATTTCTGGCATGATTGTCTGACGGTGTGGCAGATATCATCTCTTCCTGACCAGAGAGGCCACATAGACCCAGAGAGACAGGACGGAGTTGGGGTAGGGGTGGATGTGGACAGCCAGGGCAAACTCCACGTCCTTGCCCTGTAACTGGTGCACGCCTGTACTGAACACTGCCTCCACCACAGGGTTGTCTTCTGTGTACGGCATCTGCATGGGAAACCCTGACATCTGTGGGGACACAGCAAGCAACAAACAACAATCTTCAGTAACTGTCATTATCATGCAGAAGTACAGATACCATCAACACATCTGCATGACAAATATTAACTGGAACTGAAGCATTTCTGGTGTGAGAATGCCCCCGACTCCCCTAGATTGCGAGTGCCTTCGGTGGTCGTCACGCCTACAGCACTCCCCTCCCCAAAACTGACGATGAACCTGGGCTGACGGAAAAAAAATTCAAGCTGGCTACAGCCCTGCACCACACTACTGTAAATGTTATACTGTAGATAGGAGAGGACACCTTGTACGAGGCGAGGATGGGTTCCAGCTCAGTTCGGTGCTCGTCAGCCGTGCCCCTCCCCCCGCTCTGCTCCAGCCTGGGCAGCAGCCGGCGGAAGATCTGGGTGCAGTACCGGTTCCAGCGGGTGATGCTGTGGGGGCGCCACTCCATCACTTTGTCTCTCAGCTTCCTCTCGATTCTACAGGTGGATTTGCATACATTACAAATCTGCTGCACTGTTTTATTGTAGTCTTTGCAATGAACCAAAACAAGACAAACAAGCAATTTCAAGGTCACAAGATCTGTGGCATGTCACTCTGCACTCACACGACCCCACTAAAACTGAAACTGACCTGTCCTGCAAGTCTGCCACGTAGTCCTTGTCTGTGGGCAGGTAGACCAGCTGGTCGGGCTGTACGCTGGACAGGCCGGGGTTGGGGTAGCTGCGGCTGAAGAACGGCTTCCACTGCGCCTCCCTGGTGGTGTCGAAGCTCATCCTGCCCGTGGCGTCGTACCCCTGCACGTTGGCCCAGATGTTGTCCTGGTTGATGAGGCAGCCGACGGACTGCATGGGGCAGAACGGGTCGTGCTGGTTGAAGAACTCGCCCGAGCTGGGGTTCCACAGGAGGTAGTCCCCGCTGGACTCCTGTAGCAGAGGGAACAGTGTTGGGAGGACTCCAGCAACATGTACTGCTAAATTACATCTACAACTTTATCTTTCCCAAGCATCTCCAAAACCACGCCAATCGCGACACTCCAACCCAAATTCCTACAAGGCTCTACCATTTCACAAACTCCTATTTCCCTCAGACTGTCAGAGATTGGAATATTTGCTTCCTGAGGTCATAACAGAAATCTCAGAGCCTGACAAGTTCAAGGTACTCTCACTCAGAAACAGAACATAACCATCCCATCGACCACATACATGTGTCAGGACGTATGCCGTGGGTCCCTCAGGCACAGCAGAGCCCAGGACCACCCAGGCCTTCTTCCCCATGTGCAGGAAGTAGTTACACAGCAGCACGGCATGCTCCTCCTCATCTCCCGACAACATCTGCAGGAATTGCTGAGGAGGAAACAACAAACGTGGATTCAAACTTTGTAAGACTTCTAGATGTTACTGTTACTCAGATTTCTCTCTACATAAGCAAACTATGAAGTGAGTGCCATTCTTGTCTATCACTTAAAAACCTTTGTGGATGTAGATTTATGTAGGGGAATTGACAAGAAGTCTTTATAGTTACTAGTATACTGATACTGAAAAAATGCAACACACAACAGGCAATAAACACATCACATTGTTTTGTTCCTGTGTTTGAAAGAAAAGGGATCAGTCACGTATTGACTGCTTCATTCAAGTTCAAAAGTCACGTTTCTGTGACGCCAACTTACATCACATGTGCTCCAGATGTCACAAATTCCTGCAAACAGCGTGGAGTCGGAGATGAAGGGGATCAACGACACGAACCTCGCCACACGCTCCTGTAAGGACGAGTAAATTAGTCACAACGGCATCTTTCATTGATGCATTTTAATGTAAAACTGTATCTCTCTCTGACAAAAACATAGTACATTTGTGTATAAAGATGTCTCTCTCATCATCACTCTCTCATACTGGGTGAAAAATTTAAACAATCAATCTCAAGTTTTGTCTTGCAATTTTTTTTTCACCAGATGTACACATGACTAAAGCTTTAATACAAAGTCATACATGTTGCTGTGATTGGCAAAGTAAATAGACTGACAGAAATATTTTGCACTGTGCATTTTGATTTCATCAGGTGCATCCCAGTTGCAAAAAGGACAGTCCAGTGAAGAATTGCGGCACCCTCTGCTACCAACTGTTAACTGGATGCATTCCTTTGACCAGGAATCAGCACATAAACGGACAGACCCTTCGTACAGCAACACAACTTGTATTGACTCTCTCCACACACAATACAGGGAATGATCCCCACGAGGACCAGTGCGCATGTGTGCAGCTACTATGGCGGGAAACCATGGATCTAACATGGTACAGGACACCTACCGAGTTCTGCCTGGTGTCAGCGTTGCTGTCGATGAGCTCGTCAGGTGGCTGTAGTGGCTGGATGAACCTGGTCACAAACACGGACTTCCCGTTGATGTTGGTCACCGTGGTGGAGATGTTCCGTTTCGGGAAGCGTTTCTCGATTTCGCCCTGCCACTTCTCGGCCTGGAACAGCAGCTTCTCGTCCTCCTGGCTGTCAAACTTCTCCTTGAGTGGCTCGAGCGGCGTGAGGGGCGGCTCGATGGTGATGAACAGGGTCAGGTACGTGTGCTCGTTCCCGCCCATCTGCAGGTCCAGCCCCTCCGACCCACCCCCACCCCCGCGCTTGTAACCTAGCAACACGGGCGGGGCCTCCACTCTGAACGTGCCGTCAATCTGTAAATGGCAGAACGCTTTACTTCAATCCAAAAACAAACATATTATTATAATAGTAGAAAACTGTATGTTCCCGTATAGCTAAGGGAAAGCACAATCATGTTTTAACCTTCACCTTGCTACTTACAGTAGTTACACCTAAGTCCTAACCCTTTTAGTTTAACTAACACAGAATTGGTAGACAAATGGTTACTTCAGTGTGTTAAAGGTTAATAATACCATGCATAATGAAATGGCCAATTCATGTTTTTTTGTCAGTCACTATTCATTATTGACATCAAGGGAAATTTTAAGTCAGGTTTGAACAGGTTGTCGAATGTAACTTCTGAATCATGACAGAGAAAGCCCAGAAAGTCTATGATGATCGATGGGAAAGAACAGATGAGCCTGACGTGGGTTTTACCTGGGACTGGAAGTAGATGGTGGAGAAGGGAACCTGGATGGACCCGAGCCAGTGGCGCTCGATCCTGCGGTGGATGTCTGTCCCTCGCTGCCGGTCGTCCTGGAAAGTCAGCGAGCAGGGAGGGAAAACAAGTGAGTGCTTCATGGGAATGAATTGATTGGTGAGTCTTACATGATTCTTGCTTTGCTAAAAGGAAAACCTTGATGAATAACATGCACAGATTGAACACTTTTATGCATGCATTTTGACTTTGCTGATATCCAATGTCCTGCAGGTACAAACTGCAAAATCCAAAAGAGGTAAGGGCAACACACATTTATGGTTGAAACAATCATAGCATGAGATTTTTAAGGTATAGGCAGCATACATGCAATCAATCTACCATTTTACCTGAACATAGGAACAAATACAGTGTGCCGTTCACGAGTATCAATATTCAAATACAAACGTACATGCACGTGTAGAGGTACAATGTATGGTCTGGATTAACATGACAATGATAATGGACATGCAATTAATCCAAATACTTATTGAGAAAAAAAAGGAGATAAATCTGGTAACTCCTAAATGAAGATAATAACATTCTGGTATGTAGTTGTTGTGTGTAGCATGCTCCAAATAAGATAACAAATGGCTTAGACACATTGTAATATTGTATTAGAATATTATTTGTACAACACAAAAAGGGTTAGGTGTTGAAAGCTAATCTGCATTTGTATAATGTCCATGTCAAGGAAGATGGCACTACAGAAAGGTCTAGGCAGAAGTGACACTAGAGACAATGACCCAGTGTCAGGGCATATCTCACTAACTACAGTAGACAAACTCACCAGTGAAGACTGACAGGTGCAGTGCATGATAAACAGACCAAGATGTTACAGCACAGTTATAACAGTCAATGCACAAGTGCTCAAGCAAAATGTAGAGCTGCTGCAGTAGTCTAGAACTCAGCATGTCTATACAAAGCCATGTCTATGAAGTTGTTTGTGCCTATGATGTCTATCATCTTGTCAGCTGAACAAACCTCATAAGGATGAATTTTGCAAGAAAGCAGTAGCTATGAAATCTAAATATGGCCATACTAAGATGTACAGGAGGTTGCAAGTAGTTGAAGTTGATCTCATCGCTATGATTATGGTGATATTGTCAGTAACAGTTGCAGTCATGTTGTCACTCCCTGTCAAACATTGTCAAACAGATGCACCAAAAACATCAATCAACCTGATGTTTGTTACTAGTACAGAGAAACCCATCAATGTTTTTACTCATTTTCAGTACTACTTTACCATACAAACATTTTTCTTATTTGCCTTACTTTGCCAACATGGACAAACTTGCTTGTTACTTTGTCTAGTACGGACTAACATCCAGGTACAAATGTAACTAAGCACCCACCTCCAGAATGTCGATAACCAGCTCATCGAACACGTTGATGAAGAGAGTGTCATCCAGGGTCTGCAAGTTGCTGGGAGAGTAGTCGTTGTTTGGCACCCTGTACAGAGGAGTCGCATTTGATCATGATATACATGTAGTCTTGTAGAGAGGACTAGGAAACTCTCAGCTACCTTGTACAGGGCTATCTCATACATGAGCTTTGACAGGGCTAAAAGGGCTAGGTTTCAAGGCCCCACCTTGGTAAAGCTCAGTATGGCATAATTACGGCAGTTGTTGTCCAAGTATGGAAGACATAATTGCCTACATCAGTGACATACTCCTGCTCATGGAGAAAAATGTTGCCGACATCACACCAACTCATGTACAGTACCTCTATTCCTCGAAAAAACACATTTCGGATGGTACTCTGAGCTAGACATGTCATAGATGCATACTATCAAAAGTATGAAATAAACATGCTGTAAAAGTTTCTTGGTCACCCCCTAGAAAGTATAAACCGATGGTACAGGTACTTGCCCTACCTCAGAGGAAGTTGGAGTTCTTCGTTCCAGCTGGGATTGATACCCTCTGCGGTGCTCGTTTTCTGGCTTGTGCGCTGGAACGTCACCTCCACGAAGGGACGAACCAACACCTGAAACACGGGGGTGTGCATGAAGAGCAGACACTGTAAACATATTCACATGGCAGGTTTTCATGGGGTATCAGAAATGAAGATTTACACAGCTTGAGTCTCTTCTCGAACACAAGAGGTTGGCACATTCCATGGATCTTCACGCCAAACCGAGTTGGCAAGCTTGAGCATACAAAGCACATTTTGATAGGGTGGCAGACAAACCCTGTGTATTCCTTCTACTAAGATGAAATTTGCAAGCAGCACTCACCTTGCCAACTGGTTACTATTTTCTGCCTGGACCAAAGTTTTACTGACTACGTTGCAATGAACAGATCTGGTGTATTTCTTCTGCTAAGGTACCCAAAGTACCCGAAAACGCAATATAGATGTATGCCAGTTCAGAGGAGCTTAACAAATGTATAAAAGTCCAACCCCCTGTGGTGACCGGACATTTGGTTAAAGTGTGATATCTTACCCCTGATTGAGCGTCTCCTGTTCTGTCTCCGACCGAGGATGCTCCACCAGCCCCACCACTGCCTGCACCTCCGGTCCTAGCGGGGTGGGGGAACAGTTTTAATACAGCTTGCTGAACTTATATGATCTTAGTTCCATTCTGTTGCATTAAAGATTTAAAGACAAAGGCTTATATGTAAAGGTACATAAGTTGGGCAGTGCTCACAACAGATTTTGTTTGTTTAAAATTTTTTAAAAGACATAGGAAGAACTTAACTACATGCACATCAAACAGGAAGGAAATTTACATGACATTGTATTAGTAACTCCTTACAACTATGCCATACTATAAACACCTCCACACATCCAAATTGGCTACGGGTACAGGTACAAATGTAAATCATTTTAGTTGGAACTTACATGTACAATCACTTCTAATGCATGCTTGGATTTCTAAACTGTACAAACTACCAGTGCCTCAGCCCCACCTAATCTGCATGTTGAATGCCCTCTGTATGTTGACCAGGATCTTCACATCTCCGGCAGACAGAGCCTGGGCCGGCACCTTCTTCCTCTCCTTCCTGACAGGGCGCAGCGGACGCCTCGGTTCTGTGATCTTCAGCAGGGTCACTGTCAGGGTTCTGTACAGTGTAGAAACAAGTATTATCAAATTGTCACTGGGGGTGCCAAATATCTGAATGGTTAGCGGAATCCTGCCTGTAAAATTTGGTGACATACAGTCAGCTACTCTGTTCATTGCACATCACTATACACATTTGTGAGTTGAAAGTTACAAGTTGAAAGTCTTCACGTTGACGTAACAAAGAACAGTAGTTTATTATGAAGGGCAAGAGACAGTTGTATCATCATCCTATGTTGTTGCATTTTCTATATGACTGAACATTCTCTGAACATCCCTTTGGCCATTTCAGACAGCAAAGTAGCTCTCGTAAGTGCTGTTTTTTTGGCTCCTTTTAATAAATTCTTATCTCAGAAAAATTCAAACCATCCCCAAAGTTTCATGTTAATTATTTGTGTGTCAGAACAGTTGTAAAACCCACCCGATGTCTGGTACTTGGTCCTCCATGACCATGTCATTAGTTGAGAACTGGTGCCTGGCCATTCTGTACCTGTTCAACACATGCTCTTTCACCTGCAGGGTGCAAGTATTGTACATGTAAATACAGAAGCCAACATTGATATTTTGAGAGTACTTAATTGATATAACAAAAGTATAACAACTTTTGTAAGTGTACGGTCTTCTGCAACTATAGGTACACAAAAGTAAATGCAATAATTTCAAATTATAATTGACAGTAACAGAGTAAGGGTATACTAATACATGAGACTTAAATTATATACCCTTTACACTACAGTTTCTAAGATCTAAAAATTCTCAATGTATTTTGATACCAACATTAACAGCAAGCCTGGCTCTTCAACACATCTCTATCTAAAACCTCCATTGACCACATATGATCTCGGCAACAAAGACCTACCATAGTCTGGAAGCGTGCGACCCTCTTCCTGTGTGCATCCATGTCATCCCTGACATCTCTCTCCTCCTTCTCCTTCTGTCTCTTCTCATACTCCTGACAGAAGGAATTGCATTACCATCAGATACAGTTTATATATTGAGTTTATTGACTTCGTTCATATTTCAGTAAAAATACATGGCAGCTTCATTTGTATACAAAGATACTGAATTGCGCATTTTACATGATCAACATGATAACAAATCTATATCTATATTACATGATAAACATAACAAATTTCAAAAAACTAGTAAACAATTACATAAACGTTTGAGCCCAGGATTAAAGTTCATTAAAGTAAAAGCATGACATTTAGTACCTCAGATGAAATATCATTAACATATATCATTATCATTTGACTTTAACAGCTTTTGATAGGTATCATTTATGCTGTACAGCAATGCAGCTTATAAGAAAAAACAACTTATAACGTACAGACTTAGAGTGTATATATCACCTTGAAGATGGAGTCTGGAATCTCCCTGTCTCGCAGTGGCACCATGGGGTAGGAGCGGAATTCGGGGACTTCCCGTGACCTGAGCTTCAGCAGACGGAATCTCTTGGACTTTTCCAGCTCCTCGTCGGTGGCGAAGTTAAACTCCTCCTGGAGCTGCTCCAGCCGGAAGTAGTCGGGCAATCTGGAGACGCCGTTTTTGCCGCCAGTGAAATTCTGTGCAGAAAGGAATCCATGCAAGTGTTTCAAAGTAGTTTTCTTTCAATTACTAAGTACATTTATGTACACTGCTTTCATCTTTACTGGACTGATTTTTAAGTTAGGGAAAAAAGATGTGGACTCTTTCAAACACGTTTATCTCACTTTGCCAAAATGATGACAGCATTTCATCAATTACCAGTACACGTCTTGATAATAATACAATGTAGTACACACATTTGTAACCAAACAAAGGAGATAACAAAGCTATGTGAGAAATCACCACAGGTCAACCCTCATTTCATCTTCATTTTCATTTATGAAGAAACCTTTTAGCCCTGCTGGGCTAATCTTCCAAGGCTCAAACACATACATTTAAAATGTCATAATTACATGGCATAGATAAAGTACAGTAAATACATTTAAACACCTCTCACCTTGACATGCTGCATGAGCGCTGCGTTGCTGGGGTCGTTTGGGTCCAGTCGTGACTCCTCTATCCAGGCAGCCAGCTTCTCCATGTCCACCATGCCTGTGGCTCCGATGGCAGCTACTGGGTCCGCCTGGAGCATCGGGCTGGGGGAGGCAGCAAGAAAGAAAGTAAGAAACCGACCTCTTAGTCCAGAAGCAGGGCAGGATCAACCAACATTGTGTGGAAGTGTGCACAGTTTTGAAATAACTGGGTCTGATCTCAGTCATATTGAGCCATAGGGCATACAAACGTACCAACGTTCTGCACATTTGGTATCAGAGACATTGTGTAGTTTCCATCAGCTCTTCATTTGAGTTTCTTTGCTGTTAAAATTCCTAATGTAGTCCTCCTTTTACTCCTTCTTTAGAAATGAAACATAATTAGTTTTTGCTGACATTCTACTTATTTTATTTTCTGTGGTGCACCCCAAAACATTTTGTGTACCCAATTTTTTAGTGCACCTATTCCCAAAAATGAAGTTCGAGCACTGGTTCTGAATGAATACCTGTGTATGGTTGCAGTGGTGGGTCCTACAGGTGGGACCAGGGGGGTGCCGTCGTCCCTCGTGCCCCAGGACACACTGGTGCTGAGGATGGCGGTGGTCAGCAGACACAGGGGCTCCGAGTTGTCCTCCTCAAAGGAAAACATCACTCCTGGGGAGGCAACAACAACATAGGTGCTACATTCCTAACACATGGCTTCATGTCAATCATTAATTTTGATTCTATCCACCAATTAACTCTGTCGGAATGGAACATAACCATGACAGTCAGTCTACTGCAAAACAGATTTCCAATGTATACTCTTCTCCAATGTATACTAGTGGTGACTAGTCTTAATATTGAGTTAGGTAACACTGAAAGATAAGGCATCAAAATTTTTGGTCCATTTTGTACAATGCCAAGTTCAGGGAGTAACAGCGATACACCCCAACAGCCCTGTACCATTCAAGGAGTGTGCCATACCAAGGAGGTTAAATTTAACCTCCTTGGCCATACCAAAGGAGCATCCAACTCATGGATTGCATCGCCTAATGTGGGGACACTGCATGGCTGACCAGTGAAGTTGTCGAGACTCTAACCCGCAGGGGTATTGACATTTACAGTTTACATTTACAGAACCACAGGACAGAGGCAAATGGCGAGCTACCATCAAGCCCCAGCATCAGAGTGCAAGCACGTCTAACCCTTGGAGCATGGGGAACAATTGACAATGAACTGGATAGAGAGAGAAAGAGAAATGAAGACAACCACACACCGCTGCCGACACCCTCGTGATCGTACGCCACCCGCTGGTCGCTGCTGAACTCCAGATCCTCCAGCTCCACGTTCCCTGACGTCACGGCCGCCTCCGGGATGCCGGCGTACACCTCGGCCAGGAGGGTGTTGGACAGGGCTCCCTTCTCATACACCTGCAAGGGGACAGAAGAACTTACACTGGATGCCTTCAAAGTACACTACAATGTATGTTACAAAATGTCCATGATTGGATGAATTTGGTAGAATGACATCTAACTTGTATATGTGGTAACACTGCCAGTATTGTACAGTTTCCATGACCCAAGGAATGTCATTTCTTATCCCTGTGTGAAACACTGTGTGACTTTACACCTTGCATTTGTCATGTCATGTTTGGAGAGACAAAAACACACCTACCTGTAGTTTGATGCTCTCTGGCCACTGTATGATGAGAATGGGGAAGATTTCTCCAAATGTCACCTTGAAGTCAGATGTCACACTCCTTGGTCTAGTTCTTGACACTTCCTTGTCATTAAAGAGCACCTTGACAAACACTTGTAGTCTCTCTACATCTTGTCTTCTTTCCTGTTCACCCCTAAGAAAGCAACAAACAAGTGTTAACCTAGTACTCAGTAGTAGTAGACATACAACATAAAATAGATTAAAAGAAAATAATAGGCAGTTTAATGCAGTAAAGACAGAACTCTCTGAGAAAAATCTGGTGACTTTACCTGGGACACTGCTGTTTAGGAGTGATGGTTGCAGTGTTGGTGACCTCTGGTGTCAGGATAGGTTCTCCAGGTCTTCTCCTGATCTGCAGGGCTTTCTGTCGGACCTTCTCACGTAAACCCTCCCTGTCGGGGGGCTGGGGGGCCTGCGGAGGGGAATGTGGTTGCAGGTGAACCAAATCAGGGCTTCTTCATGTTACAATAATACTTCTATCTTCCTCCACTTTCACTTTATCACCACAAAACATAACTTTCTTCACTTTAATTGCCACAAAACTGTACATTTTCTCCATGTTGTTTTGAGTATTGAGAAAATGTAAGTTCCAATCACATGCAAATACAAGAGCATGACATTTACACATTCGTACTTCAAGCAATTTCAGTAAATTGCTAAACTGCTAGTCAGATGTCTGACTGATGAAATGTTGTGTATACAATGTATAAAGAAAGCATCCTCCCATGGCAGGGTCAGCGGCTCCGAGTTCCTTCTCCACCCCTACCCCTGCCGAATAAGACCGCCTTTTCTACTCCGCGACCCCAGGAATATTAATATTCATGAGCTTGCCTTATTTGGCATGACCCCATTTCTGACTTGGGCGGGACGTCACCCTCCTTGTGCGTGGCTGTATGACAGTACATGTACCTCTGGTTTGGGTAACTGTTCCCCTTCATCAACAGACTCATCCTGCAAACTGTCCTGTAAACTCTCCTGTGAGCCTTCCTTCTTCTTCTTTTTCTTCTTCTTCTGCTTCTACAACAAGAAGTAACAGTAAACAGCTTCACTCTATATTCAACAATCTTCTGTTACATGTTTACAACAATACACAATAAGTTGATAGGCACATGTAATGTTAACTTTTAAAATGTAAAGTTATGTGTTAAGTTGTATGTAAATAATGTTTCAATTTTGATGTAGTTTGTATGATGTATAATTATGTATGTCTAACTCCAGGAAGACTAGCTACATGTACATACTTGTACTTGTCTGTTTGCTAATGGAGGAAATAAAGCACCTAAAGCGCCTACACAGAGACATAGGCAAAAAGCCTCTGGCCTCTTTAAGAACTCACTCTGGCCTTGTGCTGTTTCTTCCACTCTGCCATCAGTGCCTCGTACCTCTCCACCTGCCTGCGGTACTCCTCCTCCATCGCATCTTCCTCCTCCTGCACCTCCTCTACTACCTCCTGCTCCCACACCACCCTGTCATTCTCCTTGTCAGTCTCCTCCCTGAAGGTTTCAGTTTCAGTTTAGTTAAAAAAACTTGGTCACAATAGCAAAGATGATATCAACTTACTGCGTGACTGCAGAGTGCTCGACTCAGAACCAAGTCCTGACATGCCACAGATCTTGTGCCCTTGGGAAAGGCAACTTTACACGATTTTCCTTACTTAACTCAAGTGAAAATGAGTATTGTCCTGTCCTGTATTGTGTCCTCTGGGTTGGTGGCGGCATAAAATAAGTTGATATAACTTGTGTGTGCTGTCACCATGTCTTGTCATGAAATGTCGGAATATTGAAAAAAAGTGGAGATGGCAGAAACGTACTTGCGCACGACGAGTTTGGCGGAGGTGTTGGCGAAGGCCTGCAGCTGGCGCAGAGCCTTGATGTCTCGCCAGACCTTCAGGATGTTCTTCAGCAGGTTCCTGTCAGCCTGCTGCTCCGCATCACGCAGCTTACGGGTTTGTCTGTAGGAACACAGTTAACACGGTCATTCTGTCATGTGGCATCATGGTTTATATCAGATCTCTATATATTCCGTGAAGAGTTTCATCAGGTTGGGAAGTCACTGAGTAAAGAGACTCTTTTTATACAACCAAGTGATTTATTCACAGCCAACGTTTCAATGACCGTCTGTCACCTTCCTCAGGGCAATTTTGACAGGTTCACATTGCACTACAGCACAGGTGTCGCTGCTATAGATGCATTCCCAAATGTACAATATTTACATATCTGCACATATACGTGGTTACAGGGAACTGTATCTATATACTGTTGTTATATATTCCATATTGAAAGTCACTATTTTCTGGTGAACATCTAATAAACTCATTTCGGTAATGGATCTGGAACTAGCCCACCTTATCTCATTCTTGTACTCCCTGAGCCGCCCACTTTGCTCGGCAGGTGTAGGGTTAAGTCCCTGTCCCTCCTGTGACTCCAGGTGGTTTGCTGCGGCTTTCAGGGCCTTCAGTTTATCCGTGAGGAAGTTGGCCATGTTTTTGTGTGTCCTCACCAGGTACTGTTGGTAAAGCTGGTTCAGTCTGGCTGCCAAAACGTGCTCGCGACTGAACAAGGAGTGGTGGGTGAAGACCAGCATGTTCACGTCAACATCCAGCTGGTAGCGTCCATGTCCAGATATCTGCTCTGATCCATCGATATACCTCCCATCAAACTCCTTTAACCACGCCTTACGGTACTCCGTTTCTAACATGGGCTCGGGTTCGTCTATAAGCATGTTGGGTGGACGGGTGGGTTCAGTCTTTAAGGGATCGGGAAGAGCGATTATTTTTCCGTCTTCACCAAACCACCTGGCCCCACGATCGTCAGGTTCCTTGAGAAGCCTGTCTTCAGCAATGTTCTGGTTCCTGTAGGATACAGGAGGTCTCTCTCCAACATAGAAACCCTCGTCCTCCAGATATCTGGGCTGGGCGTCCTGGGGAACCTTCTCTTCTGCAGGCACTGGAATGGGTAAAAAAGAGAGACGGTTAGGTTATAAAGATTATTTATTCATTCAAGAACCAGTGTGTTTTACATTTGATGTTTGGTAACTGTCTGTCACCTAGAACGATGATGTCTAGTTGTGATTCATACTGCAGCAGTTAGGTGTCGCTGCTGCAATATCACAAATGCAACCCAATGAAATTACATGTATTCACAGAGACAGGCATTTAAACTAGAAAAGTAACATTTTCAAAGCAAATGCATAATGTTTATCTTCACATATGGTCTGCTCTGTTAATTCTTGTATGTAAGCCAACACCAGTTACCATGGTGACAGACGTTTGGTTCAGGTCAGTGACCTTATTCGTTTGGAGAAGGAGAAGAAGAAGAAGAAGAAGAGGAAACAGAGCAAAAACAAGGAGAAGTCAGGGACATCTTCCCTCCATGGAGGATGTTGGTGTTGTAAGGTTTTATTTATGTTATCACCTGTATTCATTGTATATGGAAGGTATGTTCAGATGAAGATGAAGAATGGTTAGAAGAAGGCAGATGGGTTTAAATGTAATTTGACGTTATGTGGCCATGAATAATGTGGGAGTTGCTTTGTCTTGGTATAATTTTAATAGCCTGTCAAACAGGGATAAAAATACATAGCCTGTGTCTCAACTAGGATTAAACACAGACCACACTACCATAAAATAGGGGTGATAATGTAAAAATCCTTTAAAATAAAGCAATACAAATATACGACAACCTGCTATCATTAACAGCACTAACAGACCTATAATAAAACCAGCCAACCAACCATAGTGAAGAGGTGAGGTCAATGACCTCTCAAGCACCCCATTCAACCGGACTATATTTCCTAGTCTAGGGGTAAAAATAGATTGGGCTGTCTCAGCCTGACCTGCCAGCTGGAGGTATATAAACAAAAACACTCTAGATCTGTCCCAACTTTTGGGTCAAACAGACCATCCTATTATGAAGTAGGGGTGAAAAAATGAAAATCCTTTTAAATTAAGCAATAAAAATATACGACAACCTGCTAATGCACTCTAAAACGCAAAGAGACTCAACAACTACCCACATACCAAATATTACTGTAAGTCTACAAATTTCCACGGTATATTTAGATTCGCGGAATTCGCGGGGACCTCCGTACCGCGAATCTATTTCCCCGCGAATATGTTTTGCGTAAGTGCGCCCCCCTCCCCACATGCATTCACGACGGTAAGTGAAACACAAACACACGCGACAAACACAAATCACTGCAAATCAACTCCATTCTTAGCAAATGTACGTATGTTGAGTACCAAAATTTTTTTAAGTTATACTGATGTCAAAAAATCATAATATTATGAGACACCGAATCGTGATACTGCGGCACTGGCCTTGTCAAACGTGCACCGCCGGACAAAAATCTCTGTGTGCTGAGCGCCGGCCATGCGCGCCCGGGCGGTTGAAAATTGCGGGCACATCGGGCAAATCTACAAATATTTTGATGAAAAATAGAACTGCTGGTACCTGGGAAGTGTTAGTTGGTTCTCTTTTGCGCCCTGCTTTGCGGGTCGTTTTTTTTTCTTCTTGTTTTGCTGGATAGAAACGCTACCGTGGGCCGCTACAAAACCGTAGGCGACCTTTGCATACTTCCGGGTTCAAAATCTCGCCGAAGACGGCATAAATATTCTTAGTAATATATATTTTCCCGAAAGATTCTTTCGATTATGCATTTCTTCACTAGAGTATCGATGTGCAGTCGTGGAAAATAGCGTTTTAGCGCTTATTTCCGAACAAAGAAAATTGTTTACACGTGCGTCAGATCGATCGTCAGCTATACCACCGGCAGTCTCGCGCGGTGCACGAAACAAATTTTTGCGCCGCGTTTTAGGATATAAATGCCGGAACACGAACTTTTATTATTTTAAATATACACTTAACAAATTTTTCTTTGAAAAATAGCCAAGGAGAAATCGCGAATCTAAAAATACCGCGGATTGTCCATTTTCCCGAAACCGCGAACTTTAGGCCCCGCGAATCTAAAGAGACTTACAGTATATCTGGATTGTAAGTGTCAACTACTGTCGCCAGTTCAGCTGTTTTGTTCCGCACACTCTGACAGTTTACTTGGAGAAGTTTACTTTTGGATCTCTTTTGACTATAACCTCTCATTTGAGAATTACCCTGCTTTGGTTCCCTCACCGGTGAGCATTTGGTGCGATGGAATCCCCAGCTTCATAAAGGCAGCAACGGGAATCAGAATTAAGAAAGCCATGGTGTTTCTGATATCATTCCTCAAATATACGTTCATTAGGTGTGTGTGTATGTATGTATGTATGTATGTATGTATGTGAGTGAGCAATAACCCGAGCGAAGCATGCTTTTTCCTACCAGACGGCGCGTATCCGGGTGGAGCGAGCGGCCGCCGTGGTGTCTGTAGCTTCCTCCGCGCCCGCCGCAGCTTCCTCGCCGCCGGCATCGCCTTGCTGCTTAGCCTGTGCGCCGTGGGACTCGCCCCTCTGACGTTCAGCAACAAACAGGTAACGGTCTTATACCAGAAAGCTTTTGTTAGGCTGTTTTTCTTATTCTCATTCTGCTTTTAAGGAGGGTACAAGAAAGAATTATCTGCAGTTTTTGGTAAGTTTGCTTCTTACGTTTGGTATTCTGACGTACGTATATACCTTTGTAGGAAATATCGCAATTGAAACGCGACCAAGACGGCATGTCCACCACTGTTGACGCCCTGAAAAGCGACCAAGACGCCTTGAAGCGCGACCAAGACGGCATGTCCACCACTGTTGACGCCCTGAAAAGCGACCAAGACGGCATGTCCGCCACTGTTGAGGCCTTGAAGCGTGACCAAGACGGCATGTCCACCGCTGTTGACGACGTAAAACGCGACCTGGACAACGAGCGAAGCCGAATCGCCACCTTGGAGCAGCGTCTTCATAAGATTGAGAAGACTTTACGTAATTATAAATTGCGTTTTAATCTGTTATGTTTTCCCTTTATGTTGGTCTATTTGAAAACGTCATTTGTTGAAAAAAACAGGTAATGCAGGTCACTATTTCATTACATGTGTGAGTGGGGGGGGGGGTAGTCCATTTTAAATATTCGTATATCGAATATATCCCGGGGGTTGATTTATTGCATGTATTTAATGATATTCATATGACCCGTCTATGACAGGTTGCTAATATAAACATTATTTTCCAGCATCTTGCCCCAAAGGTTACACAATCTGGCGTGACATCTGCTACAAGGCATTCAACACACTCAAGACCTTCCGCGACGCGGCCGCGGCCTGTCGTGCAGACGGCGGCACCCTCGCCATGCCCCGAGACGCCGAGACCAACGCCTTCCTCATCTCCCTGTACAACTCCGTGAGCGACACGGATGCCTTCTGGATCGGCCTGCACGATCAGAGCGAAGAGGGAAAGTTTGAGTGGGTGGACGGTTCTGCACTTGGGCCGTACACCTCCTGGGGTCCGGGACAGCCGACCGGCACCAAATATGGGGGCGACTACGATTGCGTCCTTTACTCCGCACTGCCATCTCGGAAAGACAAGTGGAGCGACGACGGATGCCACAGGACGTTTCGCTTCATATGCCAGGCTGCTCAAGGTACTTATTATATCCTCACTATTTTCTGAAACCCTTCCATCCGGTAAACACAGCACAGAATAAGCGGCAGACCATCA